TTCCCTACAGTATTTTTCAATCAATCAAAATAAAAAGTTAAGGGTGATACAACACATGAATACTTTTGCCACGCCGACCGAAATAAAAACATCGGTAGTTCGAATTCGTATCACTCCATGTATATTCGCAGTGCGCTGTGCATTGAAATCCCAACGACGAGCACATCGACACGAGGCGAATCAACGTGTATTTGCCATTACACATTGTGCACACATGCAGTGCACGTGATTTACTTCGTCTGCAGTCCACACGGTACGGACGTACGTACGTTAACATCGTATTCGTATCATACAACGTGGTGAGGAGAAAACTTTCATGACAGTTTCACTGCCAAAACTTGTGCCCGAATGGATTCTTGGGATGATTTATTGAACACTATCAAACGAATGTACCGAAAAGATGAGGACAATATGAGATTCAAGGGGCCTATTTTGAATGTAAAGACCAGTGAATGTAAAGTGGACGGTGCTTTGGAAAATATTATGGATTGACGTGACCAGCGTAAGTTCGTGGGTCCCCCGCCCGCAGCGCTTCTTGGCTAGGCACACTGATTGCACCATTCTACACTAGAAATGCATGACGCGCGCGAGAGAAGTTTTTTGGAAAATACTGGCCTTCTCACTCATTTTCAAACAAGTTAAAACAGTTCAGTTACTAACCTGGTAAACTCCCATTAATACCACGACTGTGTGCAATGTTTTTTTGTTCCTCAAGATAACGCTTTTTTAGTTCGTGTTTTATCAAAACATGTCGGAAATAGAACACCTAAAGCCTTAAGTTCGGAACGAAGCACACTGCATAAATTTTGATTATGACTTCTCCCCTATTTGATTCCTGTTAATTAAAGCCTTGCTCTACAATGTATGTTAAAGCATGGACGATTAAAGAAACATTGACATCACTTAAAAAGGAACTACATGCAATATTATGTACATGATTAAGATAATTGCCGATTGGATTCATATTGCATAATTTATTATCAAAAATGTTATCAAAAATGCTAATGGTGATTTGATTGAAAGTTACTATTAAAACATGTGGGCTAGTGAAAAAGGTTGCGGGCCAGTGAAAACTCTGGTTTACTGGCCCGGCCGGCCAGTAAAGGAAAAAGTTAAGGAAAACCCCTGAAATACATACACAGACAAGCTAGATCAATTCTGTAAATTAACTTGCAAAAACGTTCTTTCTCCATCGGTGTTTTCTTGGCATTTTTTGAGATGTCGAATCCGACCAGTTGACAGTGGCCTGCACTGCTAGCGCGCTATCAGTCGCATAGCTGTGGACTTGTTACCGCATTTTCACCATGTCTTCTAAATTGCCCCCTGCGCGGCGCGGCAGGAACCAGTCGTCGCCACGTGATTATAGTCACCGTGACATCGAATTGCAATGTAGTTATATCGCGAAGCGAATTTGTAAAAATAGCGGAGGTTTCTTTTGAAAAAAAACGAACGTAAGTAAGAAAACAAATAAATACAAGCAATTTTTGATGAAAAAGGGTTGTTGAGAGGTATTTTATGATGACAGAAAGACAACAAGATTTTATTTTTATTTATTCAATATTTTTATTTTTTAAATTTTTTTGGAATTGCCGATAAATTTTTTAGGGTCGCAGCCTAAAAATAGGGTCGGTTGGGTAACCGGAAGCAGAACTATTCTTTTTTTTTGGCCTAAGGTCGAACCCTGCTAGTATAGTACAACTAGTGATTGTGTCGCGGCGCGCGCGGTGTGCGGTAGCAGGAACAAGCTCGTATGGGAACAAGCTGATAGCCTTGGTCACGGCTAGTAGTGGTACTGTCTGGGGATTAATTGATCCACTTTTCAAATTAAAATACTTGAGATTTAAGGGCAAAACTTGAAGGCTTCACAAGCTGACAAATAACGTATTTGTAACACGAGGGGGTATATAGATCCCCCCCCCCCCCACTACAATTTGGACATAATAAGTGGATGTACATGTACATGCAGTTTTTGGACCAACATTAGGTAGAGAGGCATACTGAGATACACAAAAAGCCCAAAAAAGAGGTCCATTTATGCTTTTGAGATGAAGTGGGGTCAGTCAAAATTGCCTGCACATGCACAATGTGTGTCTAACGACAATGTGTCTCTAACACACATTGACGCCCAATTTGGGGGTGTTTTTGCAGCTTTGATTTTTCATGAAAATGTCAGATACACATGAATTTTTTTTCGATAATATTAATCTTGAAGATGCACTCTTTCTTCATAAAAAGCCTAGAAAACTATATCAACTGAGCCACATGGGGATTTCTCCCCTTGTTTTGGGCAAATTTTAAGGCGGATTTCTGGCTTGGGCCATATTGGGGGTCACCCAGATCAGGAAAGTCAGTTACAATTGCTCTTTCTTACACATAAATGTCAATATAGTAGTCAGGGATTACATTAACATTGAAATTAAACAAAGTTAATGCAAAGTTCCAAGATTAGGGGCCTTCAAAATTTGAAAAAAAAATGCATGTGACGCATCATGACGGATCATTTTTGACCCCCCGTAAAATTAAGGTGTGAGGCATGATGGGTATTATTTCCCTATATTCCTGCTCTACTACAGTAGTTGTTCCCATGTCTCTAAATTCAGCTTCCAATTCAATTTCAATCTCAAGATATCTGTCCTTAAAGTCAGTGATTTATTCTATGGGCCAGTCAGTTCCCTTTTTTTTTGGCAAAGTTCATTGAACTTTGTGCTACCGTAACACCTCAATGGAAAGCAATATGAATTTTTGCTTTCGATATCATCTAAAGAACAACTTACAGAACCTTTCCACCAAGTCTGAACAAAATCTGTGACATATATGGTGCCATGGCCCGTTGAATTGGCATGGAATGACCCTTTCAGGAGTTACGAACTATTGTGTCCCCTATCCAAGACGTGACTTTTATACAAATATTTGCTCACAAATGGCCATAAGAGAATTATGATCTCATTATAAGCAGTTTTTAATTTTAAATGTTTTTCCCAAAAAAAAATTATGGAGTCGATTCCAAGTGGAATCGTCATTCCCAGACGGAATTGGAATCAATTACAACAAGTCAGGTGTGTTTACAAACACAAATGCCCCGCAACCGTGACTGTTCCCATGACATAACACCACTCTTTTAACATCAACTTACATGTACCTTGGTCACATGGAACGTTCATTAATTGACAGCATTAGTGTCTTCTGTAGGTTTTATATGAATTAATCCCTAATCCCTATGATGTCAGAATAAATACAAGATTTCTATTGTTTTAGCCACTGTGACCTTGACCCTTGACCTTTCAGCCCCAAATGCAATAGGCTTCTTAGGACTGCCAAGGACAATCCACAAACCAAATTTGAAGTTCATATGTAAAGTATATCTCAAGTTATCACGCTGACAAAATTTCTATTGTTTCAGCCACTGTGACCTTGACCCTTGACCTTTCGGCCCCAAATGCAATAGGCTTCTTAGGATTACCAAGAACAACACACAAACCAAATTTGAAGTTCATATGTAAAGTATTTCTCAAGTTATCGCGCTGACAAAATTTCTTTTGTTTTAGCCACTGTGAACTTGACCCTTGACCTTTCGGTCCCAAATGCAATAGGCTTCTTAGGATTACCAAGAACAATCCACAAACCAAATTTGAAGTTCATATGTTAAGTATTTCTCAAGTTATCGCTCTGACAAGATTTCTATTGTTTTAGCCACTGTGAACTTGACCCTTGACCTTTCGGCCCCAAATGCAATAGGCTTCTTAGGATTACCAAGAACAATCCACAAACCAAATTTGAAGTTCATATGTTAAGTATTTCTCAAGTTATCGCGCTGACAAGATTTCTATTGTTTTAGCCACTGTGAACTTGACCCTTGACCTTTCGGCCCCAAATGCAATAGGCTTCTTAGGATTACCAAGAACAATCCACAAACCAAATTTGAAGTTTTCATATGTTAAGTATTTCTCAAGTTATCGCGCTGACAAGATTTCTATTGTTTTAGCCACTGTGAACTTGACCCTTGACCTTTCGGCCCCAAATGCAATAGGCTTCTTAGGATTACCAAGAACAATCCACAAACCAAATTTGAAGTTCATATGTTAAGTATTTCTCAAGTTATCGCGCTGACACGATTTATCCGGACACACACACCCACCCACCCACACACACACCCACACACCCACCCATACTTGTTTCACATGACTAGTGTGGACTTTCCATTGCTTTCGTGTAGTTAAGAAAAACCAGTGAAAAAACTCATTTTTCTCAAACTGTGAAAACTCTTTCAACCCAATTTTTTTTCTATGATTCCCTTTAGTGTTTCTCTTCATTCTGCTACAGATAAACCTAACCCAAAAATGCCTCTAAACCTGTTTTCCAGAAATGGGGAAACACTGTGTGGACGTGGGGTAAGTCCACACAACGTCGGTGCTACCTACATTATGTGGACGTCTTTTGTTCGGAAGTCCACACTGCGTATGTAAGACAAGCTCACCCACCCACCCACCCACCCACCCACGGAAGGACAAGGCGGAAACAGTATGCCCCTTCGGCTTCGCCGCGGGGCATAAAAATGCTGGACTCGTCCAACTCGTCCTATCCCCAACTCGTGATAATTTTGTTGTTTGGCAAATTACTATTCAAGTCAAACATGTGTCAGTGTGTAATATAAATATAACTGCAAATATTTCCTTTTTCAAATCGTGGAAGTTGTCTGAAGGGCTTTATAGCTTTATGTAAACTGTAACTTTGCAAGTGTCATCTGTTGCATTAAAATGCACACAAACATGAACTCTGTCTTGGTTTTCCATGTACAGTACTAAAAGTAGCCTGGTTCCATTTTGAAAATTCTCCACAAATAACATTCAAAACCGATGCATGCCCCTACTGGTGATAAATGTGTTGTTTGGCAAATCTACTATTCCAGTCAAAAATGTTTGTTTCATTCAAATATCTGCAAATATGTGTACTTTGTATAGTAGGCATCCAAATCAGAATTGCTATTCAAGTGGTTTTCTTACCTCTGGGTTTTCATCAGTCTCTTACACTGCATACTCCATCTGGTCCATCGATCAAAACGAATCACAGCTAAGTCTGTTCCTCATTTGACATGTTCACGACATGTGTGGTTGTGGATGGAGACAAAAACACTGAAGGAAATGGTCAAGTCCTTGAAGCTTACAGATGTCACAAGCGTTGTCACTAACATAATAATCCATGGTAGCGCATTCTGTAGCAAGTTAGTGCTTTGCTGGACTCCTGTCAGGTGAACAGCCTTGTCATAGTACACACAGGAAAACTCCATACAGCAAAAATGTTTGAACACACTGGCATTGCATGCAGAGGTGAACATGACCACTTGTTGATGAATCACTGGTGGGAAGTATCTCATGAGGTCTTGGACTATGCATGCTCACACACGAAGGCTTGTTGGCTCCATGACTTGCTGAAGATGCGAGGATGTAATGACATTGTATTCACCTTCCTTTTTTAGTATGAAAAACAGGCTGGTATACTGAAAGAGACATGGAGAAAATACTTCATTAATTATCCAATAAAATATTTCATGCTTCACAATGGGCAGTGCAGAAGATAAAAAAACTCCTCACTGACAAATAGCACCAGTTGCAAAGTCTCTCCATTAATTCTTTTTTGAAATATCAAGGCAGTGTTGAAAGATGACAATTATAATGCAAACAGAAACAAATCACTTAAAAAATTGTCTGCACAGTTTCAGCTCCTACAGCATGCATCTAGCACAAACCAACATGAGAATACCAATGAAGGCCTGTGATTGGCTGTAAGTTTTCCTTAATTTGCATATGCAAATCTGTACTTCAGGGTTACCTTATATGGTAATGAAATTCAATGTTTTGGGCTCTGGGCTGACTGACTACCCTCCCATTGGCTACATGTGTTAGAATCAAAAACAGAGTTTTAGGATGAATGCAGGCTTGGCAACCTGGACAATGGGTAGAAGGTGCAAGTTGTTGCTTAGTCTGAGGCATTTTATCACACACTGTTGCCAAAAAGACTTAATCCAATGAAAAAAAGGAGAAACAATCTTTTCGTTGGGGATAGGGCTAGGGAGGAGAGGTTGCTCTGTTGTGCACGCACCTCCAAACCACCCTTCCCCCCTTCCCCCCTTCCCCTCCCCTTAAAAAAAACGGAAAAAAAGTTTGGAATTTTGTTAGTGTAATTTTGGTCACTTGGCTATCTGGAACAAAAATCCACTTCTAAGACTCCTAAAAAAATAGCCCCACAAATGTGACGGTAATACTGGACTACCTCCGTATTAACCGTCACAAATCCACTTGTGGTAAATTGGACGGAGAGTCCGTTGCTAAGGGAGTCAAAAATCCATTTGAAATCACAATTGTTTTGCCACTTTATACTCACACAATGCCGTCTACAACTGCTTAATATCAACAAAACGTTAAATTCGGCACCTTCAGAGGTCTAGTTATCTTGTAATTTCGAGTTGAATTCGGAAGACTGTTACAGCCATTGTTCACGAAAGCGTCGTGTTGCATGACATCATGGGTTGTGATAAATCGCACCCTCACTAGCTTGCATCAAATTTTGACAATGTGCATTTGTATTGGTCAAAAGTGCGCCCGCATACATGCACTCTCCGTCCAATTTACCACATGTGGATTTGTGACGGTTAATACGGAGGTAGTCCAGTATTAGCCTACCGTCACATTTATGGGACTACTTTTACTAAAAAAATAGCCAGCAATGTTGAAAACCAACATGAATGTCATGGAAAGAGGGCAGGTTTTTAATTTTTTGATCAAGAATGTCTATTTTTTTTTAGAAATTTCACATGGAAATTTTTGCAGCGCAAAAAATCCCCAAATGGTGAACTGTTAAAAATTATACAAACTAACTAGAAAATATAAGAAAGCCGAAGGAGCAACTATAGAATGCAGGGCCACGCCGAAGCAAGGTTTTTTATTTTGCCTGGAGGCGTGGATGGAATAGGAGTAATAGATATGCAAACCTGCAAAAAAGTGCTAAGTACAGCGAAGGAATGCACTGCACTTGTCTTCTAAGCTTCTCATGAAGGATCGGAAGGGAGGGCGTGCTTGTAAATGTGTTGGGGGCACTGTCTGGAGCGGCGGAGGCGCGGAGTCTTGGAGTCGCAGAATCGCGGAGACGCGGGGCACTGGAGTGGCTAGTGGCGGAGGCGCGGAGTCACGGAGTCGCAGAGACTCGCGCCGATAGAGGGCGCAATTCTCGGCGGAATTTTTTTGAGAACGAAGCATCCATATCCATTTTAAATGGGCGGGCCAATTAGGAAGGGAGGAGGGCGACGGGGCACTGTCTGGAGCGGCGGAGGCGCGGAGTCTTGGAGTCGCAGAATCGCTTTAAATGGGCGGGCCAATTAGGAAGGGAGGAGGGCGACGGGGCACTGTCTGGAGCGGCGGAGGCGCGGAGTCTTGGAGTCGCAGAGACACGCACCGATAGAGGGCGCAATTCTCTGCGTGACGCGGGGCACTATACACACTGGTGGCGGAGGCGCGGAGTCACGGAGTCGGAGAGACACGCACCGATAGAGGGCGCAATTCTCTGCGGCTCCACGACTCCACGATCGATTTTCGGAGGTAGGTCGACTCGGTTCCACGCCTCCACGCAGCCGTACGGAGGCGCGGATGTAGAGTAAAGTGGCCCTGCATTCTATAGTTGTACCAAGCCGAAATTAATTTTCAGTGTTTTCATAACCAAGTAAATGTGCTTCAAAATCAAGAGTAAGGTCCCCCTCCGGTTTTCCTCCCTCCACGCCCCCTCCCAAATGTAAATTCGCCACACGTTTTCCGACATTTCCGAGTATCTTCGCCACGTACTTTTATAACACTCACTAGTTCCCTTAAATGCAGGACTTATCGGCCGGCATTTCACCTCAAATTGTCCCCAAGGCTTCTCTGTTCATCAAGGGACCATGTGACACAAGAAAATTGGCTAAACCTTGGCAAAAACCTCATTTCAAAAACGATAAACTCACCTCTCACTTGTCGAAAAATCCGCACGTGCAAGGTAGCCATGTTTGATGTGGGCGAATTCTCCGTTTTTCAATGAGCCAATCGCAGGGCGCCGTCATATGCAGACATGCATTATTCATAAGTCGGGAGCCCGGTGTCCTGTGATTGGTTATATTGGTATAGTATATCCGAGGGTATTAAATTTTATTTTCGCACTAAATAAAATCTGTAATGTAAATAAGCTGTCCTTTTTTGTGATGAGGATAAAAAGAAAAGGTTCACAATATCATACGATTGCTGAGCACTCAAGATCCGCTGTTTGGCTGGTTATTTGAAATTTGGGTGTCTGGCTATCTGCCCTGAGAAGTTTTTGACAAGTTTGGGGGGGGGGGGGGGGGGGAGTGGGGAGAAGCACTAATATTAACAAGAAATGGAATTTTAAATCACAACCACAACCAAGGAAAATACCATCTCCCGACCCAACCCCTCCCCCCCCCCCAACCTCCTCACAAAAGTGTGTCCCGCCCATTGAGTCACTAATGTAAGTTTTCTTTGTCATCGCAAATAATCCATGTAATAAGGAACTCACACAGACAATTAATAACATGCACAGTACGTTTTAATAGACAAAGCATTTGCAAATAAGGCTAATTAACTAGCAGCACGATTCCATTTACTTCAAAACCAAAGCATGCATGTGGATACATAAACGTATACAATTATAAATGTCTGAGTATGTACATAATTTGCATCAATTAAACATGCATAATTATTATCACTTGAACTGATCGACTTACTGTATCAACGATTCACATTGAACTAGGAATAAGTCCATTTAGTACCTTTCAGGTTTCTTTCTAATACTTGAACAAAAGGCCCACTGGGTCATTGGCTATTATTGAAAAACTATCTGACCAAGGCTCTTACTTTGAGAAAAATTTGATTAAAAAAGAAACAACATTTTCATCTGCCATGCCACCAGTACAACACATTACAATCTCATAGCCCACACGTAAGCAAATTCAAGAATGTTAATTTAATGCATATAATAATCCATGTTTAAAGTGGCACTCTGTGCCCTGGAAATATACTAAGCACATAACATGCATGCTAAGCAATGATAGGTTACCAGCCAATCCTTCACACGATGTACACTGCTACTGACTGGTTCTCAGCTAAATTTCATTTAGCACATACATTTTTTTTAACAATATATTTACTGTTTAATAGCAGCTCTACAAAACGGGCCCCTGACAATGTATTATTGGCGATATACTGCTGGTATCTAATCATATATTTTGATTGTTTGTTTTGATACAAAAACTGGAGCCAAAATGTCATATTCTACCACTTACACATTCATTTTCATGAAATTGTTCAAACTGATCAAAAAATGAAAAATGAAAATGACCGGCATAAACCATGGAGGCTAGTAAGAAAAGGGAAAGTTATGGGTTCTTTTAATGAAGGACCTTCACATCTTTGTTACAAAAAAAAATCAACATTACAACATTAAAAAATACCGAAGCTGAAAAAAAACTATGGAATGCCATTGAGGCTACAACAGCACTGTCCAATCCTCTCATTAAGAAATTATGTTTACTGAGTATTGAATATGGTTACTTAATATACTTCATACACATTCATGAGCAAGAGCCAAATTCTTACTGGTCCATCATCATGTTGACAACTGTTTGTCAACTCCAATACATCGGAAAGCTAATATCGACTATCCACCCTCAGACCATGTTAAATTCATAATAATTCTCCAAATTTTGCACATAAAATAACTCATGCATAAACTTAAAGCAGTAAAAATCAAATTTAATAAACATTACCATAATACTGCAAAAGCAGCAATTTAAGCAAAAACCTCTATTTGAAGAGAGTGAGTAAATGTGAGGTACCATGACAACAATTGAAAATGTAATATTTCATAACATTCAGCAAATAAGAAAGAAGTGACTAAAAACACAAATTGTCTGTAATCAAAGTGGGATGATTCGATGAAAAATGTGGCATAACCTGTTATCGTCAAAGGTTTCATCATTTCTTGCTCCAAGAAAAGTCATCAATTTAAGCAAATTCTGATTAAGCCATCTTATTTGATTTTTTTTTTTTTTTTTTTTACAAATGCTTAGAATGCGCGTTGCCTTAGGCTACAGTGAGCAAAAACTGTTTCTACTTAAGTAGTTTTAAAGACTAGTCTAGGGTTGAGTGGATTTTCAAAGTTCTCAAGTAGAGACTACAGGGTGATGACTTGGCAATCTCCTTCCTCAGTAGCGGAGGGGCCGGTGGTGGTGCGGCCACGTGGACAGGCATGGCAGAATGTACTGCCATCTAGTGACTGGTACATGCCACGTGGACACGGGTAGCAATCCTCCAGGTAGTTATACCAGCCTGACTCGCAGGGAACTGAAGAGAGAAGATGAGAAATAATAGCATCATTCTTGTGAGCATTTATAGAAGGGTTCTTGGTATGTTAGGCACAATAGCAGCTCTTACAAGGAAACATTTTTACAATCAACTAATAATCCTTTTCAGAGATTACAATTTTTCCTAGCAGATACTCTTGTAATTTTTTCAATAAGAGCAGGCTCTTATTACATTATTTGTAAATTATTGTAATGGGTTGGCACCTTCACTTCCTAGGAGAAAAAAAAATTGACAAAATATCGCTGGGGGCCCTTGCCCCCTACCTGGATAAACTGCTTGGAATGGCCAAAGAACAATCTTTTCATTAGTATATCACAGGATCAACACACAGAACAGGTAACAAGTCAAATGCGGATGACCAATAACAAAAGGATGACTTTGTTGTAATTCACTTGAAAAGCTTGTGAGCTGTCTTGGGCCTTGTGAATGACTTGTGATGGACTTGTGATGGACTTGTGATGGACTTGTGATGGACTTGTGATGGACTTGTGATGGACTTGTGATGGACTTGTGACGGACTTGTGATGGACTTGTGTTGGACTTGTGATAGACTTGTGATGGACTTGTGATGGACTTGTGATGGACTATAGTGATAGACTTGTGATGGACTTGTGATGGACATGTGATGGACTTGTGATGGACTTGCAATGGAGTTGTGATGGACTTGTGATAGACTTGTGATGGACTTGTGATGGACATGTGATTGACTTGTGATGGACTTGTGATGGACTTGTGATGGACTTGTGATGGACTTGTGACGGACTTGTGATGGACTTGTGTTGGACTTGTGATAGACTTGTGATGGACTTGTGATGGACTTGTGACGGACTTGTGATGGACTTGTGTTGGACTTGTGATAGACTTGTGATGGACTTGTGATGGACTTGTGATGGACTATAGTGATAGACTTGTGATGGACTTGTGATGGACATGTGATGGACTTGTGATGGACTTGCAATGGAGTTGTGATGGACTTGTGATAGACTTGTGATGGACTTGTGATGGACTTGTGATGGACTTGTGCTTGAATAGTGATAGACTTGTGATGGACTTGTGATGGACATGTGATTGACTTGTGATGGACTTGTGATGGACTTGTGCTTGAATAGTGATAGACTTGTGATGGACTTGTGATGGACATGTGATTGACTTGTGATGGACTTGTGATGGACTTGTGATGGACTTGTGATGGACTTGTGACGGACTTGTGATGGACTTGTGTTGGACTTGTGATAGACTTGTGATGGACTTGTGATGGACTTGTGACGGACTTGTGATGGACTTGTGTTGGACTTGTGATAGACTTGTGATGGACTTGTGATGGACTTGTGATGGACTTGTGATGGACTATAGTGATAGACTTGTGATGGACTTGTGATGGACGTGATGGACTTGTGATGGACTTGCAATGGAGTTGTGATGGACTTGTGATAGACTTGTGATGGACTTGTGATGGACTTATGATGGACTTGTGATGGACTTGTGCTTGAATAGTGATAGACTTGTGATGGACTTGTGATGGACATGTGATTGACTTGTGATGGACTTGTGATGGACTTGTGATGGACTTGTGATGGACTTGTGACGGACTTGTGATGGACTTGTGTTGGACTTGTGATAGACTTGTGATGGACTTGTGACGGACTTGTGATATACTTATGATGGACTTGTGATGGACATGTGATTGATTTGTGATGGACTTGTGATGGTTTATGTGATGGACTAGGTTTATGATTCAGTTGTACTGCAGAAGACCGGAGCTCTAACTCTCATAAGGAGTGGAAAATGTAGACATAAAATACCACCAAGGCTACAAAACTAGACAGAGAAACAAGAATGCCACGCCACTTACCGCATCGTACGTCCTCTGCCTCCATGCGCACCGTACCAGGGGGACAGACAGGCATGCCGTAGCTCTTGGTCTTCTTCGAGTTGACGTCGTAAACCCGGCTGTCTATGTTGATGGCAAACTGGCCCGTTCTAGACTGATTGATCAGGTGACCGGCAGAGTTACGTAGCATAAAGGTTGCCTCAATGGTACTGTTTTGGTTGAACACTGGGATGGGTTGTAGGGAGAAAAAGAGTACAGCGAGTTAAGTCATGACAAGATGAGTATTTTGTAAGTTATTTGGCCCTCCATCCATTTATTTTTGATACTCGCACAGGAAATTTGGGGGTACGCCTTCTGAAAGGCGTTACAACAAGACAGCTAAAATCCATTAGGCTGAACTACAACATTTTGTGTTTATGATAACACCCTTAAAACTATCCAGGTAGGTAGGTAGGAAAATATTTTGTGTAACGTTATTGGTGTTTGTCGGCGAGTCTTTTTTTTGTTTATAGTATGGTACTTTTAACAGTATTTTGTTTAACCTCTTGAACTGTTTTATTCATTAAAGCACACACAAAGACCTTGCACGGGGAAGACATTTTTATGTTCAAAATAAACTTATTTTAAATTGTTGGCCAAATATGGCAATAAAAAGGTTGAGGTCAGAAATTTTGCCTAAAAAATCCAGGTAAGTCGAGTTACCGTTAACAAACTCTGGGGGGGGGGCCTTAGAGCCAGTCAAATCTTATGGATTATTCTTAAAAGCCTTCTTTTCTCATCACAACATGAATTTTGAAGATAGAGGCACACTTATCAACACATACATTAGCAGGTCGCAGAACATGCAACAAAAAAATACGGAATGCAATACGTGAAATGTACATGTCTTTGCACAGTAAGCAATTTTCTTCACGACCATGGGAGCTCCAAAGCGTGGGCCCCGGTGCATCACACGCTAGTTCACAAGCGAATTGCAACGAGAATGCAAAACTAATTGTTGTGTGAATGCTCCCAAAACCTGCAAACAAACTACGTCTCCCTTTTTAACCGTTGCATGGAGTAAATACCGCATCTGTGCTACCGTTAAGATTCATTCAGTGAAACCAGATCACTTTTTTTTAAATAGCCATATTTTCATTGTGATGTACCAATGGCATCACCATCATTTAATTATCACTCACCTTGTTCATTGGTCATGTTCTGTTGGTCAGGGATGTCCAGATCACGCTCCAGCCTAATGGCAAAGTTGACCGCTGTGACTGACCGACGCCGGCGTCTGCGCGCATCTGCCCCGGGCATCTGTGGACTGCACCCAATGACCTGAGGACAACGGGTCAAAAGTATGTGTTTTTTTTCATTAGAACAATGTAAGAGGTCAAGGTAAAATTCCCTTTTGAACAAATGTCGTCATTTGGGGGGGGGGCTGATGTCTCATAAGTATGAAACTTTTGTATAGGTAGAAATTATAGCTACACTATAAAGTGAAAAAAATGTTAAAGGTGTGAATCGAAAACAAACGTGAAAAATCCCTGTGTAATTGAGAACAGGAGCCAAGGATGTCCTCGATTAGCAAACGTGTACAAAACCAATGAGAGCCAGTCCAAGTATGAACAAAAGATCGATGATGCATCTAGCTCATCAGACATGTAGTCCCTTACTGAATTGAAAAAGTTCCATTTACCTGGGCCTGTTTGACAGCGCATGACTTCTTCTGCACACAACTGACCATCTGCAAGTTGGAGGTGAGAGCATCGTTCACTTTCTGATGGACCAAGTTGTCGCTTGTGACGTTGACCCCATCACAGGTCAGGTCATCGGAGTATGCCATTTGCATCTCCATGGCAACCTTACTTGGCGGCTTGTACTCTACAATAGACAGTGAGTGTGTGGTAAGAACTACGGCAATGCATGCTGTGTGGGTTTTATCAAGACAGCAGCAGCTAAACTAATTTGTCCCAAAGAAAGTGTCTGTCTAAATATATTTGTTTAAATAACAACAAAACCACAAAGTAAATTTTAAAAATGTTTAATTGTACAGATATTCCTAATCCTTGGCCATAACCCCATAAGTTTCATTTCATTTTCCTCATACCTCACTGCACAATGGTCAATTGATCACAACATTTTTGGACACTGTGACCAATTTTGCTTGCCTTAGTCAATGTCGGTGCTGTGTTATGTAAGTAGTAAAGTAAAGTAAAGTCTGTCCCGAGCCAATGTGGCTCATCAGGCCGGTGTTTATCTCCGGTTTCCTTGGCATGAAACGACTGAGAATATTTCTACTCCCCCTGAATGGGATGCCAGTCCATCGCAGGTTACTCCCCAGCTAATGCCGGTACCCATTTATACTCCTGGGTGGAGAGGGGCAAGTGGGGGTGAAGTGGCTTGCCCAAGGACACAATATATGGCCAGCGGCTGGATTCAAACCCCGGACCCTCTGATCATGAGTCACGAATCCTAACCACTAGGCCACACACTCCCCCGCTGTGTTATGTTAGCTGTGCAAAATCCTTCATGTTGTTAAAAAGGGCTGATGTGGTTGGGGATTGGAATCATTTGCCCTTCAGCATTAAATTGAGGTCTTGCCATCATGACTGATAGCCAGGCAAATGATTCCAATCCCAACTGCAGCCCTTTTTTCATAACATAAAGGATTTTAAACAGCTTACTAAATTTGAGGTTGTGACGCTCGTAGTTCTGAAGGTGTCATAGATTTTCACCTTTTCAGCTGTGTCTACTTTGCCGTAGAAATGCCCTCAATCATCCAGGGTTATCTATGCTAGGATCAGCTTGTTTCTCAAAACTGGTTTGCTGTAAAGTCCTTGTAATGACAGTCACATTCCAGTTTCAGTGATCTACTGTGATAATAACACTGAGCGAATGATGATAGCTTACGCACTTGTACACGTGGGAAGAGCCAATCCTGGGTTGTCCTCAGTCTCATGTGACCACTTGTAGTCGGTCGAGGGACCACATTGGTAGGAGGGTAGAATGGCCCGACTGAATGCATAGCCTTGCCAGCAGGAGATGGTGCAATTCTGCTCCTCACCAGCAACTTGGCAGTTCAGGTTTCCTCTGAAGGGGCGGGTCACAGACCTGCAGCCTACAGGACCATGGTAGGTGGTGAAAGAATAGAGAGAAGTGCTGTGGCTGAGTGGTTTGCACATCCCCACTAATAGGTCTTGTTCAAATGACGTCAGTTTCTACAGACCACCCACGTGCATCAGCATTTTGAGTATCAACTTGCATAACGCGCATCGGCTGCGTCGTATTTCGAACATATTTCGAGCAACAAGCCCGCGTGCTTGGAACATTTTCAACACTGAGCAATGCGTGCTTGATTGCGTAAAATACGCAGTTGCAGTTCTCCTACAGAGGTGGCCGTCATTGAGTGAGCCCTATGTGCAGGAGGTCGTGGGTTCGAGTCCCACCCATGCACTTTTGTGATTTTTATCTTGTGGGCTCTCAGACAAGACTAACTATATGGTGCTTATAATTTCCATCAAGGGCAAAACTATATTGAAAACTTCCATCTCCCGATGCCAAAAAAACATATCTGTCGAACAGGATTTATGAAGTAGGGCAAAGCAGGCTCAAAAAATGTGTTTAATTTACTAGGACAAGATCATGTCTTGCCAGGACTGAATGAAGACACCTACATGGAGACCACCTCCATAGGATGGATAAATACTGTACTTACATGGGCAAGGTGCCGTATTGCACTGTTTGGTCTCAGTGATTGGACCTGCACAGGTGCTGCCACCGTAGGCTGGGCGTGGGTTGGTGCAGGAACGACGATGGGACTGAGTGCCACCTTCACAGGACTGGCTACACTCCTCCCATTCACTCCACTCACTCCAGCCTCCATCAACTGCCAATGGAAAAATATATACAGTTTAATGATTGGACCTACACAGGCGCTGCCACCGTAGGCTGGGCGTGGGTTGGTGCAGGAACGGTGACGGGACTGAGTGCCACCTTCACAGGGCCGGCTACACTCCTCCCATTCACTCCACTCACTCCAGCCTCCATCAACTGCCAATGGAAAAATATATACAGTTTAATGATTGGACCTACATAGGTGCTGCCACCGTAGGCTGGGCGTGGGTTGGTGCAGGAACGGTGATGGGACTGAGTGCCACCTTCACAGGACTGGCTACACTCCTCCCATTCACTCTACTCACTCCAGCCTCCATCATCTTCTAATGCAAAAAATGTTTAAGTTTTATTATTTCAGTTCATTTGGTCTGATTGGGTGCATTGCACAAGCAAATTGAAGCAAATTCCGTTGACGTTTCAATTAGTTGCTGAACCTCAACTGAACTGACAAATATTTCCTAACCTTGCTGAACTGAACCCGACTTTCAGCATTTAGTACAAACCTTTTTCCAGCTCGCACACTTGTCCTGTAAATCCATGCGGGCACTCGCAGCTGAAACTGCCTACTCCATCCACACAGGTTCCCCCGTTGTCACAAGGGCTTGGGCCCGTTCCACAATCGTCAATGTTTGTCTGGCAGCGTTGGCCAGTGAAGCCCGGTGGGCATCGGCAGATATAACGATGGACATCGTCAATGCAGGTACTGCCTGCTGCACAGGGGTTGGAGGCACACTCGTCTACCACTGCAGGAAAAACAAGGAGAAAGTTCAGGTTGAAAGCAGTCTGAATAAAGGCTGGCTACAACTCTGGCAAAGTTAGCAGTGTATGTTTCTTAACGTCAAATTTGCTTTGCATTCATATGTGAAGTATGAACTGGCATTTAGTCTTCATGTCTTCTGATTGATCAATGTTAACAAGCTTTAAACCCACTGCATGACAATCTATCAACCAAATGGAATAGTTCAACATTCATTGAAAACAAAACACAGCTCCTAAACTGAGCTCAGGGCAGATGAAGCTCTTACTGTCGCACAGTGATGGCGTCTGAATTTGAATTTCGCCCAGGAAGCCCCAGTTGATGAAGTAAGCAGCGGGGATGAGGTTGCCAGGGACAACATAGCCACAAGTCTGAGCATGTTTCAGAATGACTGGCGGTATCAGTGCTGTATCCCACATGTTGACGTTACTCAGGGAACCGGTGAAACTTTCCTGCTGAGTGCCGTCTGTCGATGAATAAAATTACACAAATTGATGTTTCACGGTTCTGCTATAGACCAACCTGGGCATGCTATAGAGTACTGAAGTGAATACATCACGCGCACAATTATGTGTGTAAAAGACATTAGGGCGTGGTTCAGCCCGTGAACCAACACGTGCGCGTACTCCATTCGTTTGCACTTCACTTGCTGGTTCTAAATGACGTCACACTTTGGTACTCTATCTCTCCTATCACGGAGCTTCCCTTCAATCTGGCGGAATCTTTGTACTAGCTGTTGCTCAGATAATCTGTTCAGGGCAGTTGCTTTGTACAATAGCTTGCACAATGGTGACGGTTGTTTCTTGGCATATCAACTTTCAATGACTCCTTAAAGAACAAATATTCTGTGACCCTTTTTTATGACTTTCCGTGAAAGCTTTAAATTTCCCATATTTTTTTCAGAATTTTCTCCTGACTTGTGGGAAGCCAGCATGCTGACGTTTAAAGTCAGCGGATTGCTGGTTAAACACCTACATTATTCCTTCTGAACTCCGAAACAAACAATTATTCTTGAAATTCTGCCAAAACCAGTAAGGACTGCAAATCCATGCCACATTGTACATGTTTCTGCCAGTAAAATGGCACTAGTAAAACGGCAATCATCATCATCATCACCATCAATCATCTTCATCATCATCATCAACATCATCATCATTCCGCTGCTTTGTACGTGACCAACAATGAGAGTAAATGGCACCTCACCACTACGTAGCTCTCCCAGCGTAAGTTCCCCTCCACTGTTGATACTGGTATCGGATCTCATCCCAGAGTGTATCAGCACCAGATACCCGTCTCGATACATCTTGAGGATGCCTCCATGCTCATCCCAAGTGATTGCCAGATGATGCCAACGATTGTCATCAAACGAGGTGTGGGAGGAAAACTCATACCTAGGCCACAGGGACAAAACACAAGGCATTAAGATACCTACTTATGATGCATTTTTGCACATTTGTGAGGCGTTCTGGTAAAATGAGACAGAACTGGGCAGAGGTCGAAATGAGGGTATTGGGAAAGAGAATAAAGTTCTCCTGACAATACTGTTTGTTGCACTTCAATCGGATATTCCGTTGACAAGCTATGGTTGTACACACTAAAACTAAAACTGTAACTTCCTTCCACATCTTCTACCAAGGGACCCCACCTGGAAATAAGTTGGAAGACTTTCGTGGACTAAATAATCATCAATAGATAAAAACAGCTTACCCTTGAATGTAGACATCTAACGACCCAGGGTTACTCAGGGCAATCTGTGCATTCTGCAGTGTCTGTCCAGTGCTCTGGGTTGTATAGGTCAGTATATCCCCATCAGATGTGCCGGATCGAATCCACATCATGATGGTGAACGCTCTGAGTGGTTTAGTAATGGCTCGATGTATAGTGATGTACTGACTGTGATGACCGCCTCGGAGACTGACATCAAAATCAGACGACTCATCTGTGAACAGAGATGTGTTCATGGACCCAGTCATGTCCGTGATAACAAGACTAGGCAAAGTTATAGGTTAACTGGTCTTAGAACGCACACAATTTTAGTCATTTGACGGAGAATGACTGCTCACTGGAAGTATTGTCATCAGGCATGCAACTGGGAATTTAGACCAAAAAACGAGGAAATTCAAAAACACAGTAGAGGAGCGCTAGTCCCATTGAACAATGCCACAGTTGTATCCTGCTGCAGTTGGTGACTACAGACTCTGAGGCAGTTTGGCCTGGAGATATTTGACCTGATGGATCTTGCTACACTGGGCAGGCATGTCATTTTGACAAATGTTGCGTTTTCTGCGTTTAGCAGGATTTCTAGCCAAAAATGCCTAGCGGGTTAGGGTACAAGTCTTCAAAAGATTTCCAACTTAAAACTGTTTGGAACCCGGAGATTCAACCCTCATTTTGTAGGAGCAGACCATACTAATGGTCAATTATTATCCCAACTATCCAAAGTACTTAACAGGGCGTGTTTTTAAGCCAAAACTTTCTTCAAACTCTGAAATCAACAAATCAAATAAGCCAACTTACGCTGGCTGCAGTATTCGCCCTGAAATCCTGGTCTGCATTTGCAGTCGTATTGGTTGATGCCATTAATGCACTCAGCTCCATTCTGACAGCGATTACCAATGCATTCATCAATATCCTGATCACATTCAGTGCCGCTGCAAGAACACAACAAGAACACAAATCATGCACATTTGAGCTTTGAACCCATTAGCAGCGATGCTACATTGTATTACATTGTACTTATTTACTGAAAATTCCACAAAACCCATTGAGTACGCAAGTGATTTTGGGTGGTACAGGGAGTATAGTAATAGAAATAGTACAGTAACAGGCTGGGTGGTCTGGGGCAGTACAAGGACAAAGAGAACAAATCTCACCGTAAAGTTATGTGGAAAAAAATTAACATAAGCCAAAAACTTGTGGCAAAAATGCCTTAAACAAAAAGACATATAATTATTTAAAAAAGGTATCCGCAGCGGAATATTTTATTTAGACTAAAAAAAGTATGCAAACAAAAATCAGAAATCAGAAAAAAAGGCACATTATTGGTGTGGAAAAATGAGAAGATTTCAAATAGATTTGAATATCCATGTGGAAGCAATATGTTGGACTGGTTAGCAGGAATTATAAATTATCGTGTACTAATGTTTGACACTAACCTATAGCCTGGTGGACAGTCACAGGAGTAGGAGTTGAACCCATTGATGCATGTACCATCATGCAGGCAAGGGTTGGGTGTGCAGTTATCAATGGCTACCTCACATCGCATCCCTGTGAAACCTGCGGAAATGGATTCAAACTGACAGTCACAACCCTACAATAGAGTGCATGATGCTCAACCATTGATTGTTGACATGTAGGCTAATGCATTTTGCACATTTACAGATGGGTTTACCTGCTTGGCATATGCAGTGGCTTGTGCTGTCTACACTCGGCAGACAGACTGCGTTGTTCAGACACGGCTCAGCTGAGCAGATGTCTAAAACTGTCTGACAAAACTGTCCTGTGTAGCCTGGAGTACAGCGACAGGAATAACGGTTGGCCTGCATACAAACATCGATGGATAACATGTCAGTGCTGTGAAATATTTTACTGCTGAAGTTGAAACCAAAGCTCTTTTATGAGGTGAAACGAACACAAAGGCATTTGTGGTGTTTGAAATTTTGAAGGCAAGGAATAAAATCTGAGGCTCGGGTGGGACTTTTGAGAGAGGTTTTGAGAATTAATGGTGCAATACAATACATTGTCAGCAGTAATGGCACTGATTTGAATTTTGCATCTGAATTGTGGGGAAGTGTAGCAGCCAGATACAACATAGGAGTGTCAATTGAGCTCAGTGAGTAATGCAAGTTGGAATGATTAAACCGGATGAAACTCTCACCTGATCAATACAGCTTGCTCCATTCAGACACTGATGGTTGGCGCAGTCATCAATATTAGTCTGGCACTCTGCTCCTTCAAACCCAGCCTGACACTGACACACAAACCCAGTAGTAGTTGGGGTACAAGACCCACCGTGCTTGCAAGGATTTGGCTGGCAGTTACCCAAGTCAATTTGGCACAGTGTACCTTTCTTTCCCTTCTTGCAATCGCAGGTGAACATGTTGATTCCATCGATGCAGGTTGCTTGGTTGTGACAAGGATTACTCAGACATTCATTGATGTTGGTCTCACAGTTCTGACCCGTGAAGCCTGGTAAGCATTGACAGGTGTAGGACTGTAGGCCGTCGATGCAATGACCAGAGTTCAGGCATGGGGTATTGGCGCAATCGTCTTCATTAATCTCACACTGCTCACCGATCCATCCATCTACGCAATCACAGATGTAACCATTGACCAGATCCCAGCATGCACCACCGTTGGCGCATGGATGAGACTGGCATTCGTTGATCTCTTTGTTACACCTACGGCCATTGAAACCGATGTTACACACACATTTGAATGAGTTGATGCCATCCACACATCGACCGTTGCCACAAGCTCCGGCCACGCAATCATCCTTGTTGTTTTCACAGTCAATTCCATTGAAACCATCGGTACAGTCACACCGGTACCCACTGATCTGATCGACGCATGCCCCTCCATTATGGCAGGGATTGGATGCGCATTCATCGATATCGATCTCGCACAGAGTACCAGTGAAACCTTCCAAGCAAAGACAGGTGAACGACTGGATACCATCTACGCATGGAGCTTCGTTGGCACATGGAGAATTGGCACAGTCATTGATGTTAATCTCACAATGCTCTCCTGCGGGCAGAAAATTGTGAAACCAGCGACAAGGAGTGCCAAGATTATTCAAGTTGAACACATCATCAAATGGAAGGACAGTAAACATCACTTTCAGTTTAAGCAAATACCATTTTAATACCCGTATCCTCTTTGAGTGATCCCCATTTGTCTATTGCCAGGTTTGCAGCATTGCTAAATGTTGCTAGCATTGTGACGTGAGCATAATCCCTGGTTACACGGAATATACAGGTTTATGGCTTCTGACTAGCACCCTTGAACAACGACATGGGCAAAATGGGGAACCGCCAACATAGGGTTGATAGCTCAGTCGGTAGAGCACCAGAACGGCAATCCAGTGGTAATAGGTTCAAAACTTGCTACAGTCAATTTCTGAAAGTGTTCACCTACTCTTTATGCGCAGATCAGCAGAATTTTATTTTATCAAAGTCAAGAACTGTTACAGGCTGTCTATCTCTGGTACTTACCCACAAATCCTGGCGGACATAGACAGAGTTGGTCCATAGAGGGCGATGCACATACCCCACCATTAAAGCAGGTCTCTCCGTCATGGCAGGCATCCACCTGGATCTCACAATCTCTGCCTGACAGACCGGCAGGGCAGGTGCAGTAATAATCCTCTCCTTCATCCTCACATGATGCGTTGTGTTGACAAGGGTTGGGGTTGCAGAGGTCTGGACGTCCCTCACAGAGCGGTCCTGAAAAACCCCACGGGGAGAGAATTTGTCAACATTGGATGGTAGTTGGCTCCAGGGAAACTGTTAAGGTACTTGGAATACTGGTTAGATACTTGGGACACTGGTTAGATACTTGGGACTTTTGTCACTGCGTTGCTAAATGGAACAGTTACTGCACCAGCAAGTCTACTGCCTTGAACTCAAAAGTCCATCACAAGTCCATCGCAAGTCCATTACAAGTCCATCACAAGTCCATCACAAGTCCATCACAAGTCCATCACAAGTCCATTACAAGTCCATCACAAGTCCATCACAAGTCCATCACAAGTCCATCACAAGTCAATCACAAGTCAATCACAAGTCAATCACAAGTCAATCACAAGTCATCCAGTCCAAAGTCAATTAGCAAGCTTTTCAACTCAATCTGTGCCTTGTTAGTTATGACTGGACTTGTGACTGTTTGTCTGATGTACCCAAGTACCTTGTCTACAAGTTGACCATTTTTGAAGCAGTTGATGTGCATTTGTGTAACGTTTGTCTCAAAGCTTACATTCACACAGTAAATTGTAACAACTACACTAGCAATCAGACTGAGGATCCATGAAATGGAATCGGAGTTCAAGACTCTATTTTAACTTTGTCAATCACAGACTATGTAATGAAAAGAAGAAATGATACTGACCTTCAAAGCCATCAGTACAGACACAGTCATATCTGTTGACACCATCGATGCAGGTACCACCGTTAGAGCATGGTCCACTAGCACACTCATTCACATTGATCTTACACTCCGGTCCGGTAAATCCTGGCAAGCATTCACACTTGTATCCAGTCTCCTCTGTCAATGTCTCAGTGCAGGTACCGTCATTTTCACATGGATGATAATCACATGGAGTCAAGACCAGTTCACAGTGGCTGCCACCATAGCCGTGGGGACATGCACACTGATATCGATCATCTAAATCTTGGCAGGTTGCACCGTTGCTGCAAGGGTTGTTGGCACACATGTCTATGTCAATCTCACAATGATTACCGGAGTAACCTGTGATGCACTGACAGTGATATCCGTTATCAGCATCCACACATGTACCATTACGCTGGCATGGGTTGGATTTACACTCATCTACATTAGTCTCACAGTTATCGCCTATGAAGCCGGCAACACACAGGCATAGATAGTCTCCATCTACATTAACACAAGATCCACCGTGTTGGCAGGGATGCATCAGACATTCATCAATGTCTTTCTCACACCTGACACCAGTGAAACCAACATCACATGCGCATGTGAATCCACTGGTCTGACTGCTACATGTACCGTCATTCTCACAAGGATCATTCATGCAGAAATCTATCAGGAGAGAGCAATCATCACCTGCAACAACAAAAAGAAAAAAGGACGAAAGTTTGTATTTAACATCATGGTGGAACCTCACAATGTAAGACGTGACCCGCCCCCCTTTTTTCCCCTAAGAACCGCCCCTCATCCCATTACCTTGATATCCAGCAGCACAGGTGCAGCTGAACCCATTGAGTTCATCCACACAAGTAGCTCCATTGAAGCAAGAATCTTGCTGGCAGTCAATCACATTAGTCTCACAGTGTGACAGAGTACAAACATAAGACGTGACCCGCCCCCTTTTTTCCCCTAAGAACCGCCCCTCATCCCATTACCTTGATATCCAGCAGCACAGGTGCAGCTGAACCCATTGAGTTCATCCACACAGGTAGCTCCATTGAAGCAAGAATCTTGCTGGCAGTCAATCACATCAGTCTCACAGTGTGAGCCGGTCAGACCCGCTGGGCATTCACAGCGGAAGGACTCCAGTTGCTCCACGCAGGTTCCACCGTTCGTACATGACGCAGCAGTGCAGAAAGTTTTTACTGAGGAGGCACAAGAAATGAAACGGATTCACAGTACAGTGCCAAATAGGTGACTTTTAAGTCAACTTCCTATGGGATCCGTGCACAAGTATCCACTCAACAGTAAGAAACGGAGAGTTGGGGGAGACCACTAGGAGGGACATTTGAACGCATTGCCGATGACGCCTGACGCTCACGCGGAAACACTATGGCTTTTTGTACATTCCGAATTAAAATTAGTCGCACGTACTTCGCAATATATGCATGCAAGCAGTACACGCACACCCTGTGTCCCAATCACTGGGCTCTCAAAAGTGGTAAAAAAGCGCCCTCTCTTGTTCACACATGGAGCCCATAGCTCAAGACAAGCGATTCCGATGCCGTCTTCATTTCTGTCTGGTCTAGTAGTCTCCAATAAGCATTTGCACTTACAGCTACACATGCTCAGATCTGTGGCTCCTTTGACCTGTGTTATATGCCTGGTGGGGCACGAGTGACATGAACTTTGACCTCGCTGGGGCTGGTAACTATGAAGCGGGCACAGGACACACGGCTGGATCCCAAAAGTGGAGAACGACCCGGCGGGACACATGTCTGTGAAAACAAATCATCAAGGGACATAATGTATTATTTCAGCAGAGGACAATCGTAAGTCATAATATCAAGGGTGTTAATCCTTAGGTATGCTGAATTTGTAATTCTTCATTTTCAATCACAGCAAGACATGTTTGATTTATTCATTGATGTCAAATACCAGATACTACTGTAACATAGACTCCTATTACACCTGAAAATCAATACTGTTCATCAAAATCACTTTCTTGTAAACTTCCAGGTTCCCCTTAGTACTCACATCTTATGATCCAATGAATGACTTTGCATTCATCATGCAACCCATACCTGCACAGTCCAGTAAGCTTGTGGATCCAATCCTGGCTGTAGACTGACCAACTGGACATTGCTGACAGGAGACTGATCCAGCCTCAGACTGGTAGGATCCTTTCTCACATTGGAAGCATGGCTCAAGTCTGGTCTTGGAATACTGACCGCTAGGACAGAAGCCTGAATCAGGTGGAAGAAAACGTCAGAAGTACAAAAATACAGAAGTAACCTTTGATGAAATTTTTGGTCTGGGTGGTGTTTATTTCAATGGTGTTATTAGATTTACAGACAGTTGCTGAGATTGCTTATTACAGTGCAAAATATGAGGGCAATATTCAACACTGCAAATTTGTATTACAAAACAAATGAAATTTTGCATTTGGTGATGTGATGTATTTTGTAAGCCCACTTTTACCCGCTCTGACATATTTCTATGGGAGAAAATATATTAAGAAAAAAAAGAAGAAATTTTAAACAAATTTAAAGGCCATTTTTGAGTGCTTTCACGGAGAGGCAACTTTACTTACAAAAAAACTCAAATCATCCCACGTCTTGCCCAAAATGTTTATTGATCAATTTCGTTGACCAACAAGAAGTTACAAAGTTAGCTATCACAATTTATATCTATATCAAACAAAGCTGCTTTGTGCTACAACAGACATCAAATCTGAATCCTCCACCAGAGAACACTTGGTGCCAAAACTCCGTCAAATTAAAAAAAAAAATATTGCAAATATTCGTACAAATGCAACAACATGGGTGAAACTTGAAATTCATTACTTGTGCAGATCAGTTCATGGCAAACCTTACTGAACACCGATCTACTAAGCCCTGCCCATTGACGTTTTGACCAATCGCAGCCGTGATTGTTCAAAAGTCTGACATGTGTGTGTATGTGCGCATGAGGCGTGCGGCTGCAACATGCAGTATGACATTGGAGAAGCACAGGTGTTGTCACTCACATGCGCAGTGGGTGGGGTTTAATGGGATCGGTTTATTAGAGAAGACTATAGCAGTGGCGACTCTTCACAGATGTTTTTGTACTCACGCAGGCAGTCAGTAAGATTGGTGGAGCCAGCTAGGATGGTGGAGGTTCCTGTGGGACACATCTTGCAGGTGTAATGTGGCTCCTCATCTTCATCTTGATACTGACCGATAGGACAATCCACACAGTCCAGGGTGGCATTGTCAAAGAATTCACCCACTGCACAACTCACTGCAAGGACAGAAATTAGGTGACGGAAAAAAATGAAGGTAATGGTTCCTTAAAAATGAAAAAATAAATAACCCACAGAATTAAAAAAAAAAGGTAATGGACACCATTTGCAAAAATTGTACCTTTGTACCAAGGAACAACAATACAATCAATCTAAAGTAGGTAGGAATTTCAGCTCCGTAGATAGAATGCTTTAGAGAGAACTGGACAACAATGGTTCTTCATTTTTTCTTGACGCAAAGCATAGACTGCCGTTCAAAGCTCAACGATCGCAACGGCATTGATGTTAATTCCTCATTTCTTGAAAAATGATAGCATTCCAGCTCAATGATTTCACAGGATGGATGATCCTACTATTTACGTGCAGTCAAGTGTCATTTCTGAATGTTTGAAAACAGTGTCCATATTCTTTAATGCCAACAGTTTTAAATGTTTCAGTTTCTCTTGCTTTTTGTGACAAATTTTGTTTTAGTTTAGATGGTAATAAAACGAAAGACATCTACTGAGATAGATTGACATACCACAGGTCATGCTAGGTGTAGGCAGGTACCCATGGGGACAGGCTGGACCAGGTTCAGTATAATCAAGCTGAGGTTGGGAACTAATCTCCATGCCAGGCACTGAAAGCCCCAAGTCACCACTGTCAGCCATGACTTGTACATTGTCCACTATGTCATACAGTGCGTCATAACCGATCCAACTCTCGTCTTCGAATTCGTAATCCGACATGGTTGGATCTTCAGGCAGTTGGTAATTCATGCCGAAGGATACCGTGAAGGTGTGCGACATTGTAGACCGTCGACTGCGTTTGAATGGAATTGGTTTGGGTTTTCGTCTCCGGTCAACCCAGCGATTCGATGGCAGCTTCCCTTTTGCGCGCATGTCGGCCAGCCACTTCTGGGCATGCTCAGTGAGCTCATCCCATCCGAGCTCTGGAGAGCTGGCGTTTAGCTGGTCGAACTCAAATCCAAAGTCCAGTGACGATTCGTGCCAGATGCCGATGTCCCGTCGATAGATCCTGCCTCTAGAGGGAGCACCTCTAGCGGGAGCGCAGGATACCTCTACGTTGCTCTCGTCACACTCGGCCACATTCTGGGTGCAAATTGCACCGAAACCACTCTCGCTGGATAGAATCGCGATAAACTGCTGTTTGATCTTAGCTTGTGCGTCAGGAGATGAGCAATCACCACTGAAGTAATGTAGATCAGTCAACACCTTCAACTGTCCGGGCCGTACCCTCCCTATAAAAGCAAAGAAAGCGTTCAATCAGTTTCACAATGATATACCACTCCCACCAGTTTCAATCGAACCATACTGGGACCCAAGTCTGAACAACTTACGAGCACAGTTGGGGAAAACCCCAGGAGGGGGAGACCACATCCCGTTCAGGCCGCAAGTCAGAAAGGTGCGCGAACCGTCACGAGGACCCACGTCGTAATTTGCGTTGCACAACATGGAGCAGAAGCGTCCGTAGGCCCAACTGTCGCACGCCTTGGCGCCGTTCCGTGGTGCGGGCAGATCCATGCACGCGTGGGCTGTGAAACATGCAACAAAAGATTGAAATAATGAGAATTGAAAAAATTTAATGAATGATTGTAATGAATTCAATCATTTACTTGGGAGGCAAGTAAATGAAGACAATGATTGAACTACATGAAAACAATGCTTGAACTAAATTAAACAAAAGCTGAAAGTGCACAAATTGTCGAGGAAGGTTCTCATGAGAGCAGTGTTAGAAATCTAGCAGTTTGGGAGATGACAGAAGAGCAACATGCTTCGCTGAAAATAATTTACAAGCAACAGTAACATGTAGCAATTCGTTTTTGTCTGTATCATGTTGCAAAAGGGGAAGACACTAAAATTGTGCACTTTTTTTGCAATACATTCATAAGTAAAGCAACCCAGAAACAGGACTCTCTCAGCTCTGTAATATTTCTGTATGAGCTCTTCAGCTACTCTCACATTGAACATTTATTTGAACATTTATTACATTCCTATTGGTCGAGAGCCTGTCACGTGGCCGGTCTTAAATGGATGATAAAGACATGGCTAGCTGGTCTTAAACACTTACCGAAAATTACCTGATAATTGCTGATAATTACCCTCGCCTCCGGCTCGGGTAATTATCAGCACCCAGACTCTAAGCGGTCTTAAACAGAGTGATTAACACCGACCGAGCACACATTTTCCCTTATTCAGAAGCCTGTGAAGCATACAACAAATCTCTCACGTGTGATGGTGACAGTGAATTGGCACATAGTGGTCTTGCCGTTGTCCAGATTAGTTGCGCTGCATTGGATGATGTGAGTGCCCCATTGCATGGACGAACCATTCTGCTGATTGCAACTAATGTCCATTGCATCGCCCGTCAGCTCACTAAACACCGGCTGCAAATATACCACATAAAAAACTTTACCCTTAAAATTCAATACCTTCTACCTTCAATATTTGATTAAATAAAGCTCATATTAAAGGCATATATGATAATAATTTGTATTTATCCCCCCAAAAACCTGGCCAATTATTGTCCAAAAGCTCGCTTGGATTAAAGACCCTACTGGTACTAAACACCCTGTGAAATTGTTCCGTCTGGCTTGCTGTCATTGACAAGAAATCTAGAAATGAAGGTGATTTCCAACGATCAGTCAATCGACTGATCTTTGGAGATAAAGAGTGCTACTGACGACATCTGGTTTCATGATCAAAAGGCTGTGCATTATTTTTCAAAAAGAGTAATATCCACTGAGCTGAAACTTCAAACAGGCTAGATTTTGAACATTCTTCTTTGGATTTTGAGTGGTGTTATTATTGGAAATGGAAAAAAAGCATAAAAAGCAAAAGATCATATATGCCGTGAAGAACAATTTAGCAGATATTGAGAGATACATGTACTATAATCTGCAGTGCATCAGTACACTTAAGGGAAAGCCTAAAAACCTAAAAGTTGTTTAGGAAAGAAGAATATGAGGAGCACGAAAAGTATAAAAATATCAGGAAGGCCTCAGAAACGAATACGACTTTTCTGGCATGCGACTGGGAAGTAACACAAAAAAGGGCAAATTCCAAGCTTTGCAAGACTTTATAGAGTGTTTCTCAATTATTAACGGCATAAGTGTGAAGTAAAAAACGAGGAAATCAGCTGATCCGAGGAAAAACTGCATGCCTTGCTGACATAGCTCTTACCTCTGGCCATGTGATCAGGGTCTTAACTTGATCAGTTGTTAGATCCTGGTCCTCTGGACAAGACTGAAGGACAGGAGACAGGTTATCTGTTGAAAATGGAAAGAAGAAAAAAAATATTTGAAATCTGCTTTTATTGAATCGTTCATTGCTTTAATGGTGATTGCTTTCAATTTTACTGACCGACCAGTTAGTACTCCCTGGCAAGTAACAATCAATTTACAAGGTTCCTATCCACTCCGTTCACAAGTACCCCCTCACCGGCAAAGGAAGTACAGTTGGGGGTGACCGACCGACGCCATCTTGCCTGACTCCAATTTTGCCGTGACATGCAGCCGTACCACTGCGTGTACATAGTACAAATCCCCTGGTGTACGTGTGTCACACACAAGGAACGGTGCGCGTCAACCAGCGAAATGTCCCGCCCAAGGGACGTCGTTGTTAGGTAAAAGGCGCCCTCTTTGTTAGCGCACGGAGCTCATATACAGAAATCTTGAAATTTGAAATTTGAAAAATGAAATTTCCATAACTTTTCCATCATTTTCCCAGAACAAAATTATAGCTTTCCATGACCCAATTCGACACTGTTTTTGGCATCTTAGGAGCCCACTTAAAATAAACTGGCCAGTCGCCACACTGAAGCAAGGGATGTCACTCCCTTTCTGCAGTCAAGTTTGACACAAGACCACTGAGCACCAGTAAAGCATTCATCAAGTATGGGCTCCGTGCGCTGACAAGAGAGGGCGCCCTTTTACCTAGCAACGACGTCCCATGGGCGGGACATTTCGCTGGTTGACGCGCACCGTTCCTTGTGTGTGACGCATGTACACCAGGGGATTTGTACTATGTACACGCAGTGGCCGCGCTTTGCTGCAAATGAATTGCAGTCAGGCAATCGGCCGGTCACTCCCAACTGTCCTTTCTTTGCCGTTGAGGGGTATTTGTGAAAGGAGCGGATAGAGCATACATGCATAAAAAAAGGAAGTTTAGTAAATTGGAATGCAAACTAGAAGACTGTCACAGCCAAATACTACGCATCATCATACGCATACGGGTTGTGCAGGATTCCATTCCCATGACTTTTTTCTTGGAATATCAACTTTCCATGACTCCTTAACAAAATAAACTTCAGTGACTTTTCCATGACAGCTTTCCAGGATTTTCCAGGTATTTTTCCATGACTATGGGAACCCTAACAACAGAAATGAAAGTGTACCTTGAATGTTAACGGTGAAATTGCAAGCCACGCTGTTCCCTCCAGCATCAGTGAAGATGTACGACACGTCGGTGTCCCGAGTGAAATTGTACGGTGAGGTGATGTCCGGTGGAGTCTTAATCACAGTCAGTTGGGTACCTGAATTGTCAGCAGCCATGGGGATATTGAAGGATAGCACAACGCCCAGCGTTTGGCCTGACATGGAGCCTGATAGAGAGCCTGGGCAGACACGGAGGGTTGGCGGCACTTTGTCTGTCATAGATAAAAATCCATGAGAATTATCTTACCAGTAATTAAATTACAAACAGCCAATAATGTCTTCGTGGGTTTCATCTGATGTATGTGACAAATGTTTTGTTTGAAGCAACAGACTTGCTCAAAATCTAAAGAAGGGTGCTGAACAACTAACCTGATGAAGTTTCAGCTCAGCTTCAGCTGTATATTCCGAGAAAAGCAACATTCTAGGATCTCGACTTCAAATCAAAAGTTGCTGAATCATGTTTTGAATTGGGCCTGAATTCAACGTCCGAGACACGTTCTCACTGAGCCGATTGCAGCTACATGATGCCGCGCACCGATCGGACGAATTATAGCAACCGCGCACGCGTGTGCATCGTGCCAACGCTTGCGCGAGCTTCGCCGAATAAAAATGAACTACTGACGGAAATTTCCTATGGTGCTTCTTAAGACGCACCGTTGGAAAGGCATTCTTTCGTTGATTTCTTCAAAATGACAGCTTGCCAGAAAGAATAATTTCACAGGGAGTTTAGTCCCCTTACTATCTTTCAACCAAGTATGTTTTCCAACAATAATTACGCCAGTTACTTTTAGGATAGCTGCCAATGATGGACTCTGGCTTTAAAAATAATGTTGTGAACAAAAAAGAACGTGCATAGCATTACATTCAACATTTGTATTTCGCAAGTCACCCTCAACAGCCATGCATGGGGAATATAAACCTTTTTCTGTGAGGATTTTAATCTCGTATTTTTGACTTACCCCGACACTGTACATTGAGTGTAGATGGATTCTGGTCCCACGTTCCGTTAGACAGACATGTCAGTCTCTGATGGTCTGCAGGGCCTACCAAATCAAATCCATTGCGGCAGTAGAATTGACAGACACTGCCGTAATATGGATGGATGGGACCACGACAGAAGGACGGATAGACACCCCCACCCAGGGGAATCAGCTGATCAGATAAGGGTGGACAGCTGGCAACTACAAGAGAAAAAAAGTCAGTCATGTTTATTATTATTACTTAAACCAAAGAATTTGTTGTATATAAATATTGGCTATTTCAATTTCTTGTAGTATGGAAGTTCCACAATCATCGTGAAGTATAAACTAGACAAGCAAGCCAAGTCCAGCTGGTCCATCATCATCATTCGGCACAGACTTGCGTCCGTGGCCGCCTCATCCTCAGATTGTAATGGGGCGTATCCCTTGGCTCGCCGCCATCACCTGTTCTCTTTCAATCGCCGCTGTTCTCAGCTCTTCTACACTTCTGCCACTCCACTTCGTCACATTGTCTACCAAGCACTGCTTAGGGCGACCTCTGCCACGCCTCGTACCCGTAGGCAAACCGTCTATAACTGCGCAGGGCAAGACCTCCTGGTCCCAGAGTGCACACAATTCTCTTCCATTGATTCAGAATGGCTATTGACTGGAAGTCTTGTCATGCATCTGGTCTGCACAATGGGCCGGATTCAGCCCATTCATTGGCATTACAGGGTAGTCCTATACAACAGCACTGCCCGACACTCTTTACCAGCTACACCAGTCTTGAGCTCACAAGTGAGGGGGAGTCAGTCAGTCAGTTGGGGGGGGGGGAGTCGGTCAGGGAGTCAGTCGGGGAGTCGGGGGCGGAGTCAGTCAGGGAGTCGGGGGGGGGGAGTCAGTCGGGGAGTCAGTCAGTCAGACAGCCGGTGAGATAGGTGAAAGAGGACAATAGGCTGGCTTGTCGCAAAAACATTGTTCTGCGTCAAGCCACTATGACTACTCTTGAATACTCTGTGTAAGGTTTGTACCCAGAAACTGACCTCACAAGTTTTAGATAACAAACTTATCCAGCAGTGGATAAATGAAGGAAGACCAGTTTCATATTTCACAGTGTTTTTGCCAGAGTTGTTGGCTGACTTGTGTTATTTCAAACACTAACTTGACCTTGACTGGACAGCACAGTGCATGCTCACATAAGTCCAGTGTTGTGGCCACAAGTAACTCACAAGTCCAGTCACAAGTCCAGTCACAAATTACAGGGGATTAACAATCACAAAGAAAGGCTTTTGTCACAAAGGGAATGCAACATCGAAAGGAAAGTTAACAAAGTTGAGGTCTATTTCACATTTTACAGTATTTTGCCAGTGTTGTTTCTGGACTACTATTTTTTCAAAGACAAGCTTGATTTGGAATTGACAGCATGGAGCTTGCTTATTTGAGTCTCAATGAACCCCTATGACACAACCTAACCCTAAACATGATGTGAACATGCACCGTTCTTGTTTTGGACCAATGTTGGACAAACATGCAGGATACAATATTGTTTATTCTACACTTACTTCGGCAGGATGGTCGTTGACCATTCCAGGCCCAGTACATCAGCCCAGTGCTGGCATTCCTGGAGCAGCTAGCAGTGTCAGAGCCCTGTAGCGTGTAGCCATTCTGGCAGCGGACTTGGCAAGTAGATCCGTGGCTGTTGTCACACGCCGCAACAAAGTCGCCGTAAAACGGCGGGTTGAGCTGTTGGCATCGGTGAACTGGAACGAATATAACATCTGATTTATAAATACCTGAGACAGACTACCTATTCCTATCGGTCGAGAATCTGTCACGTGGGTGGTCTAGAACAGCCATTCAAACACCGCTCGGTATTGCTTAAGACCAGGCGGAAGACCCTGTGCTCAACACCACATGCCTACAGGATGCATCAAGCACACAGACTACAGCTAAGTGTGTGTTTGAGAGCCTCTTATATGATGGCCATATTAAGAGACAACATTGCGTACTCATCGCACACCTTGGAAGTGGCCAGAACAATGGAGTAAAACTGCAGTAAAACAAAATCTTCAGAAATTTGTCAACTTGTTTACTGCTTATGGTTTTGACCAAATATGTGTTTAGGAATGGCAATAATAGTGTGATGGAGCAGTTATACACATGATGTTGAACTGTTCAGGTAGCTGGTTGCCAATAATAGCGTTGGTTTCGGCTCATGCCATTACAGGGAACCAGGCCCCCAACTGGTTATAAACCACATGCTTACAACTGCTCCATCACACTTTCATCCCTTTAATCTGCAATGGGAACTACTAATGCAATGATTGCAATCTACATCGGACATTAATGTTAATGTCACACCTTTAACTTGGACTTCAAAGTCACAGTTTGCCTGGTTCCCTGCGCCGTCGGTAGCCGTACACCTGAGTGAGTGTTCCCCTACTGGCAGGGTCGCTGGTTGTTGGACATTGCAGGCTATGGAGGGTGTTTCTCCTGAGTTGTCTGTTGCTGTCACGTTCCATGTCACAGTGGCATCGGATGCGCCTCGCGGTGCGTATGTGAGGATATCCAGCGGGCACGATGTGAAATGGGGAACCTCGTAATCTGAGGGTAGAAAGTCCGGATTTCTGGTCGGTACACTTAGGGATTTCTAAATGGTAGATAATGCTGAAAAGTTACCTAGGGGACTAAACCAACAAGAACGGGGATTGAAGAATTGTTTTGGTTGAACTCATCTGCACAGTGCCTTCTATGGCGATATCTCGCCGTGACAGAAGGCGATACCTTGCCAACATAGGCCTGGATAGCTCAGTTGGTAGAGCACCGGAAGGCAATCCGGAGGGCGTAGGTTCAAACCCTGCTCCAGTCAATTTCTCTGTTCAACTTTAAAAATTATTATAAATAATGCACCTTGTCAGTTTCCTTTAGTTTGTGGTTTATTTGAGAACTTTGATTGACAAAAACGCTCATCACGAGAGGTTTTTTTGTGAGTGTTGAGCTGACAAACAAGAGATTTAATAAAATGAATTTGACGATATCGAACAAATCCAAAGCGTGACCAGAGCAAAATCCTACCTATGCAGGTGAATGCAGTGCTGTCACCTGACCAATCCCCGTTACCCAGGCAACGGATGAAGTCATAGGCCGGAGGATCCACCCTGTAGCCTGACTGTGAGCAACGCAGGAAACAGTTATCGTTGAAGGTTGGGGAAGTCAGGCAAATAGCTGGAGATATCTCCATACCAGCAGAGGGCACTAGAGCTGGACAACTACGCTCTGTGTGGAAATAGAAACAGATATATCACAGACAGTTGTCATTGAAGGTTGGGGAAGTCAGGCAAATAGCTGGAGATATCTCCATACCAGCAGAGGGCACTAGAGCTGGACAACTACGCTCTGTGTGGAAATAGAAACAGATATATCACAGATGCAATATTAGTCAACCTACCCAACCTATGGAGTTTGTAGACTGTTAAGTGACCAGGCCAACATCTGGGCACCGGTGTCATAGGAAATTTAAACTCCTATAAAATCTGGTCTGTTTTACCTTTGATGGATTCTAACTATTACACGTGACCTGTCAGTCCCAACTATCTTCACTTAGGCATGTGCAATACAATCAAGTTGTCCGTATTTTACACTTCAAACTAGAGAGTCAGCATTGCCATTGTAGTAGGCAAGCCTTCCAAGCTGTGATTGATGGCACACTGTGAGAAAAACATGGGAGCCAATATCAAGTGGCTGGTTGACAAGATTATGACAACCGTTCACGGTACAGGTAGTGACCATCATGCCATTTGATAAAGAATCTGCAGTTAACCTACTTGAAAATAAGCTCTACTGTCAGTTTTCAACGCATGACGTGATTGCTAAACAAGCACTTGCCTACTGCAATGGTGGCCAATCATGGGAAAACCTCATGGTCACATGGTATTTTGATGTCATACGATTATTATTCTCACAAAGGGGTTTTCAAAATTCAGTGTAGAGTAATCAACTTTGCGTACCTTCACAGGAGAAGTCGACCACATCCCATGTGCTATTTGCAAGACACATAGACTGCTGGGAACCAACTCCACCGTAGCCATAAGGACAGTACCAGCTGCAAGTGGTGCCCAGCACTTCAGTTGCTGGTGGGTACTGAAAGCAACCCGAGCGTATAGCAGGGAGCCGGTCAGCCAGGGCCGGGCAAGTAACCGCTGAAAAAACAACCAAACCTCACTGTGAAATTCCTTTACTAAACGCAACACAAGAACAACATCAACTCTTCAAATGTGTCCATTTTGGGGCAATTTTTTCCCCCTTTTTATGAAACTTATAAAATTAATGCTGTCCTCATATTCTTAAAATTCCCACACTGAGGGTAATTAAGCTGGATATATTTTTTCAACACGATTAGCTAGTTTTTCTTCCCAGTTATGGAAGCATACATCAAATTTTAAAGGGACACTAGGTCCTGGAACAGCTCAATTGGGCTACAAAACGCACTTTGAACGAGATTGTGTTAATCGGAAAGAACATTTAAAACTAGGATATAAACATCCACACAACTATCCTTTAAAAACTGGGCGTTTTTGTGTTATTCCTGTATTATGCGTGCGAGAATGAATTTCCGGGTCCACTTTTGCAACACTGTTTTGTTGTCGTGAAAATGAAATATGCCAATTGTTTTTTCTTAAAAACACATTTATTCAACGATTTTTATACTATTTCTTTAAAACATGTGTTGTAGACATACAAAATTACAAATATCAATAAATCTGATGATTTCAAAATTAATCGCCCCCATTACTTTTTTTACATTTTTCTCCACTACGGCCAGTGCCCAGTTCCATCTCATTTGCCAGAATGCCTCACAATTGCTCACTAAGAAATGTTCATATACTGTCAAATATTCAGAGAATAGATAAAGACACAAGCACTGTCATCTCATCTTTAGGATGAATGTTCAGCAGATTATGATGCTTCACAAATGCATCACTCTCTGCAGTTTGAATAATACAATAATGACTCATGATGAGCTGCTTACGTGAACATCTTGGGCTTTTCCCAGACCACTTCACTTGCAAGTCCTTGCCACTCAGCTGGTTGACACCATTCATCTGATCACTGTCGATAACTCTCTGACAGGTCCTATTACTAGGACCATCCAGGTCATAGCCTGCATTGCAGGCAAAGCTGCAACTGGCTCCGTAGATGTTACTGGGGCACTGGACCAAGGAACCACTGGCAGGGGCTTGTAGAGGGCGACAGCGCAGAACTGTGAAGGTCAAGGGTTAAAGAAGGAATGGAAATATAAAGGGATACAGGTGGAATTCTGGGAGGACTTTACGTGCTGGATAACATTACGTCATCGCACACAAGGTAGCGTTTGAAAACAGCTCCTTTGTTTTGGGGTTTTCGGTACACTTGAACTTGTATGTTCTTTGAAAGGTCCCAGTCCAATGTGGCTCCATGTGCCAAGAAGAGAGGGTGCTTTTGGACCACTGTTTGAGAGCTCCGTGGCAAAGTACGCAGGATATTATGAAGGTGTACAAAGGCAAAGCATCTTCTCATGAGTGTCAGGGGTTGTCAGCAATGCATTCGAATGTCTTACAGTAGAGGGGGTACATATGCACGGAGACCACAGACCAATGTATTAAGCCCTCCCCCATGATATTTTGACCAATCACAGCCATGAGTGAGTAACCAGATGCATGAATTATGCATGACCTGTGCAGCTGTAGTTGCACTGAGGAGACGCATTAATGACTGCTGTAATGAAATCTTAACAGAGTAGAAATACTAAGCTAAAACAAGTCGTGATTCCTGGTAAAACTGTACATTTAAAAGAAGAGGAGCCTAGGACTTGACATCAGAGGACACTCATAATTGGAGGCACTCATATGAATGTTGTAAGTCTGCGGCTATCTACAACTATTTGGCTTCAATATAGCCTTACCTTGTACAGTGACGTACACATCACAGCGTCTGCTGTTCATGGCAGCATCTGTAGCAGTGTATATCAGACGAGTTGTACCCTCAGTGAATGACGAACCTGACCCGAGGCTTCGGTCTTGACTGTATACAAACAAAGCAAGATTTGTACCATGAATGTTTATGAGTGAAATGGTAAGAATAATTCAATGAGGTGACAGATGGAATGGAACATATTTCAATTGCACGAATGTAAAACATTCATTTTTTTGTTTTATATTAAATAAATTGTTGTCATTAGAGCTATGTTATAGCCATGTTATAGTGCTATACTACAGTGCTATGGAACTTCTATTTACCACGGAATGAAATTTTTATTATTTTTTTGGGGTGTGGCCGGGCCCTGGGTCGGGCCAAGTAATGCAATGATACGTGATCAACAACCCACCAATGGGGATTTATCCAACATTGCTAATGTTGCTAGCATCATGACTATGAGCGTGATCCCTGGCTGCATGGCTTATATGGGCTTATGGCTTCTGACTAGCAGAAACTGAACAAAGATACTGACAAACTGGGGAACCACCAACATAGGGCTGGATAGCTCAGTTGGTAGAGCACCGGAACGGCAATCCGGAGGTCGCAGGTTCAAATCCTGCTCCAGTCAATGTATTTGTTAAACTTTAAAAAAAGTGTAGGACAGACTTCTTTTTTTTCTATACAGACCTGCTCACAGAGAAGTCATCAGAGTTATCCGTGGCCTGTGGCGTTAGGAAATTGACAATAGCTTGTCTCATGTTGGCCGGTGCAATTTGATTGACATACACCGGGCAGTTGTCCGTGAAGACCGGTGGCTGATGATCTGACAGGACAAACCAACCAAACTATTATTCACTTGATTCAAAATGGCTAATTACTGGAAGTCTTTTCATAAAAATAATAATAATAATAATAATAATTAACCTGGATTGGACATTTGGGAGACATGGACTTATGCACACAATTTTTCAAACTTAAATGTGCCCTAACCCAATATTCCCTTGTCTTTCTCCACGAATTTCGGTATGTTTACTAATTAGACCACGAGTACCAAATATAACCTGATTGCTACAGCAAAATTGTGTCTCTAAAGGGGGGCTGTGACATTAGGGAGACATGACCGATGTCTCCCACCGTTCAAAGAAATTACGATACCGTGTCTCCTTAATGGTATCTTTACACGTATATTAATAATAAACATTTCTACCGCACATTTTTCAAGTAAAATTGATCAAATGCTCCTTACAATAAGAACAATGATACTTCAAGTTATTTAAAATTCAATAAAAATAAACATAAACCTACAACAATTAAGTCAAATTATAAAGATAAACTGGTACGTGAACACAAGAGATAAAATACAAGTTACTCATTTAAAACCCAATAAACTGTTAACTTCGAAAAAGAGGAATCCCCATTCAATAAAATAAACAGAAAATTAAATTTGTTTTAAATTCATGCACCTCGTCTGGGCCAGATTCAGCCCATTCAATGGTGTTACAGGGTAATCCTATATGACAGCACTGCCCGACTGTCCTCACCAGCCTACAACCAGTGTAAGTCACAAGTGACAGTCGGTCGGGGAGTCTGTCAGTCGGTCAGTCAGATAGGTACAAAGAGGACACTACGCTGGCCCTCTGCAACCAGCCAAAATGACAATGTTACACATGGAGTTTACCTGAGCAAGAGACTGGGCGTGCATCGCTCCACACTCCTCGGTCAGTACACACCTTACTGTACGGACCACTGAGAGAGAATCCATCATCACATGTGAATGTACACAGAGTGTTGTAAGGAAGTTCAGCCTGGGTAGAGCAGTCACTTGGTTGCACTGTGCCGTGAGTCAGATTCAGTAAGCCATTACATACAACAGCTGCAATGAAGAATAACAGAATCTTGTTGATTTGATCTTCAGCCTTTCCACTTCTTTAGCACTTGTTGCCAGTTTCTTAATGTAAGTGCTAAATTGTAATACAGTGTACATTTATTCACTGTTCAGGCAGTTTTGGGCGCTACAGGGAGTACTGGGCTGGGTGGTTTGCGACAGTATAGTGACCAAACGGTAAGTGAAAAGCACGTTTAGTCTTGCCTTACCTTCACAAACTGGTTGCACTCCGGTCCACGTCCCATCGGCCAGACAAGTCCTCATGGTCCTACTCAGGGATGTATGGTTGCTACGGTAACCAGGATTACACACAAAGGCGCAGGATGACTGGTAATCCACCACCTGGTCGTTGCACCCTGATATGTAACCGTTGGGGACGGCTGGTACTTGGCATATGTTGGCTGATGAGAAAACAATAAATCGAATAATGATATTGGAACTCAAGCTGCAAAGCTTGTTATCACTTTTGATGTTGCATCATGATGTGAGAGTAAATGATACCACAAGGTCCGTCACATTAAATCCATTGTTTATCAATACATTTCGCTTACATTTCAACTTGTTGTGATCTCTTACTTTTTAATACCCCATTTTTTAAAAGTAAACAAAGCAAACACAACCTGTCACGAATATATGCACGGAAAATCAATGAAGACAAATAAAAAATATAAAAATCAAGTTTAAGCATACTTATGACTGAAACACTGTCAATAAATTTGGTTGATGGTCAAATGCAAAAAAAAAACATGTTTCTTCAAGGAGATTAACTATTACTTTTCAAGTAATTCTGTTAACCAAGTTTCACATAACTGCATACAACGCCTTCTTGAAAATACTTACGGACACACTGTACCGATGGGCTCTGCCAATAACCCACTGTAGACGACGCTATGTTCTTGACGCACTCAGCTGTAACTTGTTGGCTGCTGTCTGACAGTGTGTAACCTTCCTCACAGCTGATGTTGCACACTGAACCAAACACAGCAGCATTATCACATTCCCCTTGGCCCGACACCAGACTGGTCTCACTGTTCTGAGGACCGTACAACGGCGGGCACCTGGTGACTGTTGCATGAACAGGAAAAAACGATATAAACTGGGGTAAAATGGGATAAACAGGGTTAATGGGATGCACACTGAACCAAACATGGCAGCATTATCACATTCCCCTTGGCCTGACACCAGACTGGTCTCACTGTTCTGGGAACTGTTCAACGGCGGGCACCTGGTGACTATTGCATGAATGGGATAAATGGGATCCACAGAGCGATACACGGCAGCATTAACACCTGCCACTCATGCATTGAGTCCATACCACGGATGTGAACAGAGTACGCAATTAAACAAGGAAAGGAGACCTAGGTTGGTAATCTGTGCCAAATTAGACAAATAACTTCAATTAAATCAATTCAAGTTCATTATCCATGCTAAAAAAACTTGACCAAAATAGAGTAAAACGTGGCTTGATATTGCCATTACCTATGATGTTCACAGCGACACTGCAATCCCCTTTGTTACCGCTGCCGTCCACTGCAGTGTAGACCAGACGATGTGTCCCTTCCTGGAATATGGAGCTTCTATTGACTGGTGCCGGCTGTCCATTAATGCTGTCCAGCGTCGCGATACCACCACTGGCATCCACCACCTGAATGATAAGGCAGGTGGTCACATTGGGGATCAGGTGGGTTCGAATCATGCCTGGGCTATTATGTGATTTGGGTTTTCAGTCCCTTCTTGATTCTGTGGGTTTTCCCTTGAATATCATTCTGGGGTTCTCCTCCCACCACTGAAACTGGAATTTCCTTCCACATCTTCTACCAAGGGACCCCACTGGAAATAAGTCGAGAGACTTTCGTGGATTATCCTGGCCAATTGGCAAACAATTACATACATACATACATGTATACGTACATAACTACTGAACAAGAGACACGTCTAGTACAACTGGTCTGATTTCACTGATTCAGATTGGCTATTCACTGGACGTCAACAGACATGCGTTAATTTGACTATAATAAGATCCTTTCGTTACCACTATTGGTTCCCACTCGTAGCCCACAACTGCAAAGTTGGCCCTCTGTCCTGCAAACAGCGTGATGTCAGGTGGGCACATCAAAGTGGGTGGGGTTATATCTGTTGATATAGGAAACATACAAAGTGGATGGGGTTATATCTGTTGATATAGGAAACATATAAAGTGGATGGGGTTATATCTGTTGATATAGGAAACATACAAAGTGGATGGGGTTATATCTGTTGATATAGGAAACATATAAAGTGGATGGGGTTATATCTGTTGATATAGGAAACATATAAAGTGGGTGGGGTTATATCTGTTAATATAGGAAACATATATTAAAAGTGGATGCGGTTATATCTGTTGATATAGGAAACATAAAGTGGATGGGGTTATATCTGTTGATATAGGAAACATATAAAGTGGATGGGGTTATATCTGTTGATATTGGAAACATATAAAGTGGATGGGGTTATATCTGTTGATATAGGAAACATATAAAGTGGATGGGGTTATATCTGTTGATATAGGAAACATATAAAGTGGATGGGGTTTTATCTGTTGATATGGGAAACATATAAAGTGGATGGGGTTATATCTGTTGATATAGGAAACATATAAAGTGGGTGGGGTTGTATCTGTTGATATAGGAAACATATAAAGTGGATGGGGTTATATCTGTTAATATTGAAAACATACAAAGTGGGTGGGGTTATATCTGTTGATACAGGAAACATATAAAGTGGATGGGGGTTGTCTATGTTGATATTGAAAACATACAAAGTGGGTGGGGTTATATCTGTTCATATAGGAAACATATAAAGTGGGTGGGGTTATATCTGCTCATATTCAAAACATACAACGTGGGTCGGGTTATATCAAGCAATTCAAAATAGCTATTTACTGGAAGTCCTTTTATGCATCTGGTGAACACACAATGGGCAATATTTAGCCCATTAAGGGGTAATCTTTCCAACTCTCTTCACCGACCAACAACAGAAGAAGAGAACATGCCTACCTGTGCACTGTAGAGGAACGCCATCCCATTGGCTGGTCAGCTGACACGTACGACTAGCTGAGCCGCTACTGGTGAATCCCAGGTCACATGACGCCACACAGATAGTGCCGTAACTCTGCCTCTGGTCTGTATCCGTCACCGCCACTCCATTGAGTGTGCAGGACAAAGGCAGGTAGCCTGGTGTACCAGGCATCTCCAGTGGATCACATTGGACCGCTGTGTGTAAACCAAGCCAATTTGGATGGTTGAAAAATGTTTTGAAGTCTGGTTACTAGGCCAATGCTGTAAGATTGCATAAGCAGGTTTGAGCTCCTCTGTTACATTGGTTCAAAACAAACTAGCTCAATGATTAGGAAACAGCAGCACAACATTGATAATAAAGCAACGTTGACTGCTAGCAGCTCTTAAACAGGAATTCATACGCGTTTGCGCAGTGAAGGGACACCCACGCATCAATGTTGCATAATGCTGACTTGTTGCTAAGATCCGCTGTTTGTTGGTTTGTACACAATACTCCATTGTATTAAGTTCCAAAGTCTGAAACCAAAATTCTAATAAGGTCGACCTGGAGTCGCCCCTAATCTATTTGGTTCGGCGCGACTCTGGAACGCCTGTCTGAACCGGGGCTTAGTCAAACTATGGTTAACAACAGTTCCTGATCTAACGTGTGCTAAGGTTTATCCTATTAATCTGGCAAGACACCTCATGTGCCATTGTTCATTTAGAGTAGTCACATTTGAATTTATACGTGAACACGTATAAGTTTTATCTACAAACCATTTCTTTGCGAGCAATTCCGTAAAATGAAACATAAGTCTGACAACAGGATGGACAAGGACGTAAAGGAGTTTGGCCTGTAATTGTTTTCCACTCATTAGATGTCATAAATTAGTGATGTATCACATTCACTTTCCCACGGAGTTGTCCTGGGGTAAAAACTTGAAAATGTATAAAGGCTGATGAGTCACATATACCTTCACACATGATCGTGTTGGCATCCCACGTTGCCGTGCCATTCCCGTCGTCAGTACACATGACGTAAGTAGGCTGGGTGGGCATGTAGCCCAGATTGCAACCCAGCGTGCACGTCGTGCTGTAGATTTCCTCTGCGTGGGGGCAGCCATTCTTGAAGCCGTTCTGTGGTGAGGGCAGTTCACTGCTGTCACAGGTGATAACTACAAGCAAAAAATAACAATAACAAGATATGATAAAGTCAATGGGGCTTCAAGAATTGATATTTTCAAGTGATTTCTGAAGACTTAATAATAATACTAATAATAATTTGGGAGGCTAATCATCCTTACTCGCAGCTGGTGTGCTGAATTGCGAAGGACGCGGCTACAACGTGGTCGGGCCGCTGGCACGTGAAGGCGCCTATGGCTGCCGGCCACATCGACCCATATATGACCACGGAGCACAGCCTGAGATCGAAAGTGTTTGATTTTTCCGGAGGGAGGAAACCCGGAGAAAAACCCTCGTGGCACAGGAGAGAACCAACGCACAACTCTACTCACATGCGATCCGCGGCCAGGATTCAAACCGTGGTCACCTTGGTGAGAGGCGAGCGCTTTACGCACAAGCCACCCATGCCACCCACAATGACTTTGAAATACTTGAGTTCCAAGTAAATGCGGCATAATTCTACCCGAGGTACAAACGTTGATCAATGGTTATAAACCTCTTTACCTTGACAGTATGGGAAGGTTGAGTTCCAGTTTCCATCGTTGCCACACGTCACCTCAGTAGACCCAGTCAGTACATGGCCTGGTTGGCAGGCATAGCGGCATGTAGTCCCTGCTGGGATCTGATCAGTAGCTGGGCAATCCTGTGAGTTGCTGATGTAAGCATTGGCAGGGATGTAGGCTCGTGGACAGGTTTGCTCTGAACAGAGAAGAGAGAGTCAGGGATTATGCCCAACGTAGGAGCTAATTGTGTAGAAGAGAATTAGTTACAAAATGCGGCTCTCAAATTTGCTCCTTTGCTTCGCTTCATTTGTGAAAAATTGAACTCGGATGAAATACGACTGCTAGCTTGGCAAACATTCTGAAAGGAAATTTGAACAATTCATATAAAGGTAAGAAAATCCCAACTGGTGCAATGGGCCTTATTCACAAGTTGGCCATTTTTGTCGAGTTCCCTGAATATATTTCATTTATTGTTAACTGTTGAATAGGATGGTGCCAGACTATTTATGCAGGCACAATGCAGCCATATTTGACTGTCATTTTTTTTTTTAATATGGCTTTAAACATAAGGGAATGTTTAATTCCAAATTTTTAATTATTCATTGAAGCAGACTAGAATTTATTATAAATTAACTTTCATTTCTCTTCGCAATCCAAAAATTTAGAATTTTTTATACTAACTTTCAATTCAATATGGCCGACTCGTGAATTAGTCCCATGTATGCTGCTGACCACAGAATGATCAATGCACAAGTACCCCTTCAAGGGCCACAAAGGGAGAGTTGGGGGACACCACTGGGAGGAACTCTTGAAGGCATTGCTGACAGCACGTGACGCTCACGTGAAGACGCAATGGCTTTGTGTACATTCAGAATCAAATTTGTCGTGTGTACTTTGCGCAAATACACAAACAAACCAGTACGCGTACCGGGTGTGTCCAATCCAAAGGACTCTCAAAAGCGGTCAGAAAGCGCCCTCTATTGTCCGTGCGCGAGTCAATAGAATGATTATTAGTAGATTTACTGATTCCTCGGTTCCAGCGAGTTCACCACAGTATACTGTTGTACTGCAGTTTATAATACGGCAAGAGTACGTGATCAATTTAAGATGTCTACCTTTGCAAAGAGCATCGTAGCCATCCCAGAATCCCTCAGTTGCTCCGGCTTGTGACAGACAGCGACGGACTCCACTGCCAGTCAGCTGGTACCCGTCATTGCAAGAGAACCGACACCAAGAGCCATAGGCTGTCGAGCAGTTGGTGTTGCCGAAATATCCACCGTTGACTGGAGCGCTTAGTGCGGGGCATGTTATCGCTACAAAAATGCCCAGTGGAATATTGCGTCACATTATAAGGCTTTGACAACAGTCATACAGGTTTGTCACTTCAGGATCTTATTTTGTTGCTTGAAAAAATAGATTAAAGGGACATTAGGGCCTGCAAAGTGCCCAATTGGGCCATAAAATGCGTTTTAAACAAAATGTCCGCTGCGTCAGAAGTAAACAACCGGGATTTTGCCTGGGGTTTTCCTCCCACCTCTAAAACTGTAATTTCCTTCCACATCTTCTACCAAGGGACCCCACTGGAAATAAGTTGAGAGTTTTGTGGGCTGCTCCGGCCAATTGCTGAATAATTACAAACTGACAAGCATGCGGGGTTTTTTTGCGTTAGGAATCTAGCAGAGTACATACTCGATCGAAGCGTTACTACAAGTCTACAACTCTGTAATCTTCTTATAGTGTAAGATAAACTTATTGTGTTGCTTTCTTCATCACCATGTAAACCATCGTATGTATTTCTTGTACTGACCTTGGCAGGTTGGCTGCTGTGCACTCCACACTCCTGCATCTCCTTGTCTCTGACATTCAATACTCGCCTGACCACCGGTCAACACAAAGCCTGACCGACATTCAAACTGGCAGACAGAGCCGTAGTTGAACTGTGATGAACACGTCCTCCTCTGACCAGTGAGGTAGGAGAGATCTGCACACTGGATCACTGCAATGACAAAGGTTCAAGCTAATTCAAGATAATTGGCATTCAGCAGAGGGTTTGAGGGTCACCGAGGCCTATGATAGCGGGGTGTTTGTGCTTGCCTGAAGACATCTCTTACAATGCCCGTCTCTTTTGTTCTATATACTTTCATAGGTACAAACACGTTGATAGTAAAACCTTACTAAATTAAGTAACAAAATCCTGAAATCAGGAAAACATCCTGACATAAATCCTAAAATCAGGAAAAAATCCTGACAAAAATCCTGAAATCAGGGGGAAAAACTGACAAAAATCCTGAAATCAGGAAATATCCTGACCAAAATCCTGAAATCAGGAAAAATCCTGACAACAATCCTGAAATCAGGACAAATGTTGACAAATCTCAACCCTGGTTTACATGTACCGGTAGGAGTGTAATATGATCGACACTTGCGTTTTGAATGTGGCAGGCAGTATTTCAGGGTTTTGAATGCATGATCTATAACATACAGTGATATTTCAATTTACCTTGGACTATGATAGAGAACGAGCATGCTGCAGTGTTGCGTGCATCATCTTGAGCCCGGTAACTGATGGCGTGAGACCCTCTACCGAACAACGAGCCAGGTGGCAGACCTGTTGTCAGCTCAGGGACGATGTCGAGTTTGGCATTGTCGCTTACTTCGGGTAGGTCCCAGGTGACATTTGCGGAGGTCTGAGACGCAGCAGCGAAAGCTCTGATGATGCCTGGGCAGGTTATTGTTGGATCTTGAACATCTGCAGAGTGCAGAGATGATAAAGAAAATTAGTATAAGGGGCCTGGCTGGTGATAATGGCCCGAGTCCAACTAAACACTTTTGCAAATAGAAAGGCTAGTTTCATTGGCTTTTATTTATTTTTTTAAATCAAAGGTTAGCGTCTAGGGATTGCATAAGTTCTGACCATGCATGATTATTGTTTTATACGGTATTATCCATGTATGAATGTATGATAGCATCATAGCTGTCTATGTTATATTTTCATTGCATGGTAAGATAACTACATCAGATATGGTATTTTCTACGTACGGTTAAATAATTTCAAGGTTTTCCCTGTGATATTTTGTTCATTTACTGACCTACGCAAGTTGGGGTGGACCCAGTCCACGTGCGGCTGGCCGTACAAAACCTGGTGCCACTTTGACCCTGGCCGATTCTAAAGCCAGGTTGACTGCAGGAGTGGGTACACGCACTGCGGTAGTTGTTGGAGTCTGAGCAGGTTGTACCGGGTAAGCTTGGACACTGGATTGCTGGTAATAGTTTTTAAAAAAAAAAAAAAAAAATTTAATTTATTGATTTTTTTTTCATTGGGGTTTATAATTCCATGGAATTGCCCTAGTGGCATCTGATGAAAACCTTCGCAACTGAAACACCTTTCTACACTGGTCTAATCAGTGTTTATTTTAGAAAACCCCAAGTTTGAATATATTTTTTTTCCACAAAACTCTCTTTTGTTTTAGTCCTTAAACTTGTTCTTATCATTCCAAAATGACCAGCAATCTTAGGCAATCTTCTATCAATTCTGATAACCCTATTTTGGCAATTTGAACCGTGTCTTTCAGTAGAAAATGCAATTTTCTTACGCATTTTTCAGTCGATGGCATATGCGAATCAATGCGATTTTGCACATTCACAATGATCACCATCGTTATTTTCGTGTTGCATTTTGTCATCTTCATTGTTGTTTTCCTCTATCCATGTCGCTTCTGTGGGTTTTAAATATTGCTTTCTAGTTGGGTGAGTCCAATATCCAGAAAGTAGATTTTCACTCTCTTATAGGAACGGGGCCTGTAACTTCACAACCGCCGATCCATTCATAATTAGAACTTGTAATATTGCTAAGTTTATGCTGACAATTCAAACGTAATTCTGTACATGCAGGTTCCTGATTCAACGAACCATTTAACTGCAATTAATGAGTTGAATTTGCTCTTACGTCCGCAGCGTGGTGTGGTACCAGACCACCTTCCATTACTCTCACAGGTTCGTCGAGATGTCCCTGACAGGGTGTAGCCACTCGTACATGTGATGGTGCATTTGGAGCCATAAAGGTTATGATCGGTGCAGGAAACCTCACCCCAGATTAATTGTGGGTGGGTGCCACACCTCCTTACTAAGGGAGAGGGGAAAGGAAATGAAAAACATGAGTATTTGTTTAGATTAACATTGCATTGATGACCATTATGCTAAATTTTGCCGTCAATAAGTGTGTCACTTTAAGCCCCTTCACCCTCTTCCCGAACAAAAGACATTGACCAGATAGGTTTTTAGTGAGATATTGGTATAATTAAGATGAGATTTTTAATTGTTATCATTTACATAAAACTTGAAAAAACTCTGCAAGACAGAACTAGGATATTTCTACGTAACATTCCTGTCCACTTGGGCGTGCTTATGTCAATCATTTATACTTAAGCTCCAATTGTATGACATCAAAGTGCCACGTGACAATGTCACATTGTGTATTGTAAACTACACAAAAGGTTGTATTCCCTCTGCCAAGGAGGTTATGTTTTCATCAGCGTTGGTTAGTTTGTTGGTTGGTTGGTTGGTTGGTTGAGTTGTCTGTTGACAAGATAACTCACAGTTATGGATGGATTTGCATGTAAACAAATTTAGGGCCTCGTCAGGTGAGAGACCTTTAGGCAGGTTAAAACATCAACTGGTGAAAACATCTTTCATTGGTTGCAAGGATGTTACCATTCAACACTCAAAACTCAAGAGCCGATGAGTTTGAAGTCAAATCGGTCTTGGAACTAGACAAGGCAATGTAAGAATCTTTCGGATGTCTGCGCTCAACAATAATTACCTCACAAAGCATTGTCAACACTTACCCTTCACAGTGATTGTGAATGAACAAAGGTAGTCATTCTGGTTGCCTTTGCTATCCCTTGCCGAGTATCTGATGGTATATGGTGACCCGGATTCACTGAAGTAGCTGCCGCTGCTTCGGCCTGTAGTTCTCCGCACACTGGGGGAAAAATAGGGCCTTTGGCTTGAAATTTATGGCAACAAATTATATCATAGCTGCATCTAATTTAAGTGATTTGAAAATACTACCGCCCTCTTGATGTCAGTGCATTGGTGACGTGTTTGGAGATACATTTTTATCTTATTCTATTTCTTCTTTTTTTTTGTTCTTCTTTCATTTTTTTTTTTTGATTTTACGTGAAATGTATTTCTTGTTAAATTGTTAATATTACATCTTGAGAAATGAAGAATCTGGTAATGTGGAGCACTGTGGTCCAATGGTTACGGTGTTCGACTCACGTGCCGTGGTACGTGGGTTCAACCCTAACGGGGAGCATGGTGCTTGTGTTCTTGGGCAAGACACTTTACTACAATTGCCTCTCTCCACCCAGGAGTATAAATGTGTAATACCCATAGTTCTAGGGGTAGCCCCATAAATGTGGCCAATTCACTTGACTACCTCCGTAAATAGAGGCCACGCTTGGACATGTACCTGAAAATGTAGAACTTTGTCAAGTTTTTATTTTCACATTTAGACTTTGTTTGTAGTTTATTTATTTATGCTTTAGAAGCACACCCACCCTCTTTTATAGAGCGATAGAAAAATGAATCCCCCCCCCCCCTTTTTCAGACGTCTAGGTAATCCTCACTTTTAGGACCCCGTTCCTATAATAAAGGAAGGGAAAGACTCACCAAAACAGTTGACTAAATGACACTCAAAATTGACATTCTGATATTTCTTGACACATCTGAACAATTGGCAATGACACCTTCTTGAATATCAGCAGGTTTAATTTTGAGAAAGAGGGCAGGGCTTTGATTTATGAGGGAAATTAAGGGGTAAAAGACGACGATGACAACCAGAAAATAGCCTGCAAAAGTCACTTTGGTAATGGACAGTCATCTGCAAAAGTCAGTTTTGAACAAAACTCGTAAAAAATAGAGGTGTCCTAAAGATAAGGATTACCGACGTCTATATTTCGTGTAATTTCCAGGTTCATTTGCACACATTAGCGTACTCCTCCACTACGTGGAGCCTCATAGTTCTAGGAGTAACATTAGCGCACTCCTGGAAACAGAAGGCTTCTCTCTGCTGACGGAGAGAAGTCTTCTGATTCCAGAAGTAAAGTTAGCATATATCTAAATTCCAACACGAAATTGCACGAACTGCAACGATACGTGTACCAGATCAGACGTCAATACAGTACAGGCCATCAACAAACCTCACCGCTCATCCCATAACCTATTGCACACGACCCGACCAACGTATGCGACAACCAGAATCAGAAGATGGTGTTTGTACGTGGACGAACAGATACAGGCTATACAGATACAGATAACGACTTGAGGGGTGTTTGCGCAGTAAATACCAGAACAACAAATTAACGGTTTGAAACATCGTCTGCTTTCCTTTCCGCCATCTTAACTACCCTCGTTCTCAGGGTTTTCCATAGAAAGCCATTATATGAGAACGAAGTTGATAGTAATGGTGACGTCATGAGACGTAGCAGGGCCAGGGACAACCTCGTCCCCAGTGCTTACTTTGTTTCCAACCGCGTTTCCAATAGTAAACCCCGGATAGGAAACTTTCTTCCTGTATCCTGATTAGATACCGCAATTGGCTAGTAATGGATTTTTATCGTGTACTTGGTGCTATTATTCACAACGTGCAATACGTGTTTCGCGATAATTCGTCCACGCCTTCTCGAAAATACTAATTTCCTTTCCAATATTAATATGAAATATGATACTGCATGTTGTCTCGATAAGATCGTAACAGTTTAATTTCAAAAATCGTGTTTTTGTAACTCACGCCGTGCTCGCGCTGCTACGAATTGACTTTGTTTTTACCCCAGACACCGCATACAAAAACAAACGCTAATGTGTAACGCATATCCAGGCACCAGACTGTTCCTCATTTGCATACGTATTCAAAAATCTTGCACATGCAAATGATCCAATACCAGGGTGAGAGAGCAGGTAGTGGTGGGCGCGTACTGCTCGACACCCTGGGGACGAGGTTGGGCCAGGGAGGATCTCAGAATGTTTGGAAAGTGTGGGGGGTCGAAAGTGATTCTATCCCCAAGAAGTTAATAGGTTTTTCGTTGTTAAAGGGAAAATACAACATTTGCAAACATCAAAAAATAAAACTACCAAGTGGTTACGAAATACCTTACTAGGATGAAGCATGAACTGAAGGTAAATGACAGTCTAAAGCATCCTGTAAAATTATGGCACCTGGTGTGATTGTGAAGTCATTTTCAAGAAAAATGGTACTTTTGTATACATTTCCAACGGTGGTCGGCCGACCACCGTTGGAAAAACCTAACTATTTTTCAACTACTGCTCCAAATTTACCATTTTTCGTTCAGTCCATTTTTGTTTGCTATTGGTTCCGTGTTCATGAACGGGTGCAGGCCAGCTAGACTGGTTTCCTTTTACCTTACAATTTCCGGATTTTTCCATTTCATCTTTAGTTGCGTCAGGGAACCAGACTACATGAACATTTTTGTTTTTCTTGGTTTTTCCAGCATTTTTTAACACAAGACTTTAAACATGTCAGTGAAACAATATTTTGATCTATTATAACCCCCCAAATAATTCATTTCTGAAAATTACAGCAAAAGCTAATGATGTACATTTCCTTTAATATCGACCGTTTTGACTGTTATGTATATTGTTCATTGCGTGTTTATACTATGCCCCCCTCCCGACAAAGCAACAAAAACAACAACAAAAGAAGGAGAAAAAAGAAGAAAAAAAAAAGGTGTGAAGTAATATTTGCTATATTTTACACAAATTTTAACAAAATGGGCGTCTGCAGGGGTGTCAATGGGGTGGGGTGGGCAAATGTCCCCCGCCAATCCTAAAAAAAAATTAAAAATACAAATTGAGAATATGCTAGAGAAAGTACAAGGAATTTGGGGGGAAATGTGCTTTGCCCCCTACCCCACCCCAAGAAAGAAATTTTGGCGACGCCCATGCCGATTGTGCGGCCGGGTAGCTTCACATAACGTTTTTTTTTTAACTTTCAACCATGCATAATTCTACACAGTGAGTAAAGTAAATCAGGCGTAAGTGTTTTTCCCACGGTCAGAAAGTTGTCTTGTCTTTTTTCCCAGCAGAGCATTAACAAATCATGTTTGAACACATTTTAAGAATTAGAATGCATCATTGGGGGGGGGGGGGGGGGCGGGGAAGGAACAAGATAGGATCCAATCCCTGCAGCACGCAGCCTCCGTTGCACATTTCTAGAAAATTATGTAACCTTTCTTTTCATTTAAAGGGGGCACACCATTAAGTCCATAAATCAATTGTTAACTGCAGGAGCATGCATTTTAGCAAATATCTAGTCCCCTGAAATGCATAAAAGCTCATAATGAGACATCCTCTTTTTGGGGAAGTGGGAATCTTTGCAAAGTGCTCTTTGTTTTAATACATTTTTAAAATGTATTTTTAAAAATGTCATTTTAGGAACACACTCTTCAAATTAGGGTTTTTCTCTTCAAAATCTAAAAAAAAATGATACGTTTATATTATGCGTATAACTGTCATATACTGCAAGAACAATGAACCCCTGAAAAGAGAAGAAGAACCACATCAAACACCAACAAGTTTCTGGTGATTTTATGCTGAAGCAGAATGTGTGACACTAAAGTTTCCGCCATGAAAGACCATTGGCGTCGATCGGTGGGGGGGGCGGTAGGTGACATGTCATGCCTTTAAAAAGGCTGTATGGAGATCAAGTTAATATGAAACACTTTTGGATTGCAATTTTAAAAATCCATTAAATGGACCCCTTTAGGCCTAAGGTTTTTACTCACGTGGCCCCGTTTGGGTCGTCCCCTTTTGGATCGCTCCAAGACACACGCAGCCCCGTAGATCGAGCGTTCGCGTACTCAGTTTTGTCGGAAGGACAGGTTCCGCTTTTCAACTTCGGTGCCGTTCTGTCTGGAGCTATACAAGCACACATTTTTAAAGGCGTATTATGGAATTTTGTCTCAAAAGTATAGCCTACCAAATTCTTGTCAAAAAGCTTACTTGGATTAGAGATCGCACTGGTACTAAACACCCCGTGACATTATTCCGTCTGGCTTGCTGTCATTTACAAGAAATCAAGAAATGAATTTCCAACTTTCAGTCTATTGACTGCTTTGGGTTTTTTTAAAGAATAAAATCGGGAGTCGTGATCAAATGGGTGTGTGCATGCATGGGCGTCGGCATGATTTTTCTAGAGGGGGCAAAGCACATTATTTCCCAAACACCGTGTTGTTAAAATAATGTGCATTAACAGCAATATTTATGACTTCGCACCTCGTCTTCTTTTTTTCCCCTCTTCTCTTTTCCCCTCCTTTTTTGAGCTGAAACTTATACAATGCATGAAAAGCAAAATGATCACAGCGTGGGCTATTCTCTTGCTCAATGGACTTTGTACCTACTATTGAAATTATTTACATGGAAAGATTTCCGGAATTAAGTGAAACGGGTAAAAAAAAAAAAAACGCTCTTCAATATTTTTTTTCTTCACTCCTTCAGACTTTTATTTTGAATATCGGGAATCTTTGCATGTAAATCGATTTTGTCAATAACTCTCTTGGCCTAAAGCAATCACCAAACAAAATCAGTCAATTAGTATTGACTGATCGTTGGAGCTCACCACTATTTCTTGGTTTCTCCTAAAGGGCAGTAAGTCAGACGGAATCATTTCACGAGAAGTTTGAAAAGTACCAGTTCGATCTTTTTGTGTGCATTAGAGGCCTATTTCGGAGGGTTAGAGACGCCCAAAATAGAGAGAGTGTGAAAAAATTCCAATGCACAAAAAATCTCCATGATGTCCTGTTCCAAAAAGTTAATTACTTTTCAAAAGGGCCGTTCCTCTACACTTTCCAAAACCATTCAAACTCAAAAAGGGGGAAATTATCTTGGAATAAATGAACAAAATAATAGACTAAAAATTCTGGTAAAAAAAATGTTGAAAAATGAAGTTTTTTGTCACCAGCATGACATCCAAAAAGGGGACAATATAACGCACTGTTCTGCGTGACGTACAGTTCTGCGTCATGGAGATAAATGCAATACATTCACATCTGTTATTTGTATTTTTTAATATTAGAATGAGGCCATAATGGAGAGTGAAACTGTGTATATACGGAGTTCTTTCTGATAATTTACAGTAGTAAAAGCTGGAATTTTTGCCAAATAAAAAAGTACAAAGATGGAGGCCGTGTTTGAGCTCTTGGCTATGACTTGCACAAGCATGCGCCTATGGAAGCGGCTAAAGCCACTTGCCCTCGAAGTGTGTGCTTACTGCCAGCTAGCCGTAGTCACTTCACTAAAATGAACCAGTTCCTGATCCAAGTATAGACCAATCTGGGCACGCGCCAATTCTATCACGGAGGCCCCCTTCAGTGGCGAAATCATTGTGCTAGCTATTGTTCAGATAATCCTTCACAGGGCAGTTGTTTTGTACAAAAGCGTGCACAATGGTTTCTCCATTGATGGGGGCCTCGTGAAAACAGTGACCACTTGCCCGTAGGCCTTTTTTATAGATACAATAAAGTTATCTAAAAGTACTCACGTGGTCCTCCTCCACCACCGCGACCTCCACGGCATGCATCTGAAGGAGTGGAGAAAATAATAGGGAAATTCAATCACACAATCCACGGTCGTAATCTTCGACCGTGACAGTTGTAGCCATTCTGAAAGTAATTCGAGCGCAACAAGCGCATACGATGCATGCAGCGCAAATAGCCGCTCTCTGAGCCACTACTTTGTGGCAAAGTAGTGGCAAGACCATAATAGTACAGTTCGTGTGCAGTTGAGGATACAGGCAGTGCCAAGCTATGTATCGAGAGGGTTGTTTTAAGACAACATGAGCAAGCTTGTTTTGTCTGATGGCTGATGAAAGCAGACACTGGGATGCCCAGCCAGAGAGAGACAGACTACTATCATAGAGGAATCGATAGAAGCTTAGGGACTGTCGGGCGTGCTCTAACATCGATGAGGTGTTCCATATTACCATAACTCTCAGTCATCAAAGAAATATAAAAGTGTGAGTCTAAACCTACCTGATGCTCGAAGACAAACGAGTAGCAGACACAGAACGAACGGAACGACAAGACTTGTCTTCAGTTCCATCCTGAAGCCTGGTAGTGATGTCGACTTGACTTGTGCGCTACTTTTATATCCACTCTGGGGATCAACTCCGCCCCTTGCATGATTTTTCTAGGTTAATTAATTTATTTTGGCATGTGGTGTGGCATTGTTCTGTTTGGTGGGCCCTGATTTTCAAGCAAAACCTTTTGAAGAAAAGTTTATGCAGTGTAAATTCCACAAAAAGCATGACGTCATGGGAACCGTGGCCAATCACAGAAGAGGAGGGGAACTGCAGAGCTCCGGGTTCCTTCTCCGCGGGCCGGGTAGCCTTTCACCAACGCCATCGTGGCTTAACTTGCCCGCATTCAAAGCGGCGAACGCGAAGCGACTGGAGAGGGAGACCACACATGCGAGTGGCGAAGCCACGAGGGCCTTTTGCAACTTGTCGAGAAATTCTTATGTTTTTCTTTATAATCTCGATTTTTGCTACCCCAACAGGGTAGCAAAATTCCAACCAATCATCAGCCTTTTCGTGCGTGCGTGGCTACCACCCGGACGCGTCGACGCGGACGCGTTGACGCGTCACGTCGGATGCTTGCACAAAATTTAAAAAACAAAAAATGCGAGTCTAGTTTTCCACGAGATCGTGACTGCGTAATTGTTTTTACATTATCTTATTTTAACTTTACTTATAAAGGTATTTCAACAAATTATTTGAGGGTATGAACTTATTTTACAGTTATTTGCTCTTACGTTTTCCTTACTCACCCTTCTTTTAAAAATGGAAGCGACTAGGCAAAATCCGCGTTGTGATTGGTTAACCTTCAGCACGCTTCTTATTTGCATAAAAACTATGAATAATTCAACAAAATCAAGTTGCAAAAGGCCTCGTGGCTTTGCCACTCGCGCGTGCTGACTTAATCTTTGCTCCTGTCGCTTCGGGTCTTCGCAACTCCTCCGCTCTAATAAGCCACGAAGGCCTGGGCGAAAGGCTACGGGCCGGGACGAGCAGGCGGCCACGGGTTGGACGTGTATAGACCATGCCGTGACTCACGGCCCTGGAACCTGCCCTACCCGCTAGTAACGGCTCTTTGTTGAGGGTTGCTCCGAGGGACATTCTGACCGTTACCTATCACTTACGACCGGGCAGTGTGCGCAAAAATCTGTTCTGTGCAAATATCTTTTACCAGGGACTGAAAGTTAGAGTCCCAAGAGCTTTGTTGTGATATCCATTCCGGCTGACTCCAAGACTTTCACAATGAAGTCTACTAAGATCATCTCCGTCATCTTCTGGCTCATGGCATCCTTACATCAGTCAGGTGCCGAGGATGCTCAATCCTCCTCCCCTCCCACCTCATTACCAGGTCATCTCAAGCCCTTGGCTTCAGAGGCTACCCGTCTCCCCGTCTCAGTGATCCAGGACTTCCCTTCCCCTTACGAGTTCTTCCGCAGCTATGTCTACCCTTCCGTCCCCGTCATCATCAAGCAAGGAGCTCGGCGTTCGCCAGCCTTCCAGAAGTGGACCGACGAGTACCTGAAGAGCTTGCCCGAGTCCCAGCAGCTGATCAAAGTGGAGATGCGGAAGGTTGAAGAAAGACCGTTACCGAAGATGAAGATGCCCTTCGCTGAATTCCTGGACAGATACCAAACCACCGATGAGTACCTTGTCGCAAGAGTCCCAGATTTCCTAAAGTAAGTGCATTTTTTATGTACAACGAAAAATAATTTTCTTCCATAGTTTTCAAGTTTTAAGTAAAGTTGGAGCTGTTTTTCATGTCTCAACTTGCGGTTTACATTTATAAAGCGCCCATAGGTTGAAGGGCATTGAACTTGTGTGTATTTTAATGTCATCGTCATCCGAATGCTTCGTTTGCCTTATTTCCCCTTTCATCGTATTCTTCATGTTTTTGTGATCGTCATGAGTTTTATACGGTAAATGAGAATGTGTGATCGCAACGCGTAACGACAACCGTGTCAGGGGCGGATCTAGATTTAGATCAAGAGGGGGTTTAGCTGCCAAGAGTGGGGTGTATAGCAGCCAATTGCCTTTTTTCTGCGCGATTTTCGGATATTTTTTGGCGGCCCAAGAGGGAGGTTTAAATTCGCCATGTCTGTCGACATTGGCAACTTGTATCAACTATATTTGAGTCGTAAACGGATGCAGAATGTTATGTAGACTGTGACTCTGGTGCTATATTGGTCTTTTCAGGAAAGATGTGCTGATCCCGCCATCTTTGCACTGTACCAACGTCACTGCTAATTTGCTGGAAACAGTAAGTATGAAGACTGGTCCATATAAAGATAAGTTCCGATGCTATCCAGCTCCGTTATTGTTATAGTCAGAAGCCATGAACCATATGCCATGCATGCAACCATGCATCTACAGGGATCACACCAGGAAAATGCCAAACGGGGATCACTCAGAGAGGATACGGCTTTTATTAATTCAAATTTTCAAATGAACCACGAAAGGAAGCTCACTTTTTAATTGCAAATGTTCAATTGAACCATAAAAAGGAAACTGACTAGTCAGTTTCCATTTTGTGGTTCATTTGTGGTTCATCTGCAAGCTCAACTCCAGTCAATTTCATTGTTCAACTTTTCAATAAATCAATGTATCCAACCGCAACTTGCCTAACCTGTCAGCCGACATTTCTTTCCCTTTTCTTGTGGACAGATGCTGTGGTTCAGTAGCGGAGGTACCAAGTCCCACGTACACACCGACTATGTTGACATTATCAACTGTCTGTTCAGGGGCCAGAAAGACTTCCTCCTCGTCAACTACACGCGCTACAGAGAACAGGTAAGCAAACGGCATTAATAGAGAGATCAGCAACTCAGATTCATCATATCTTTCTTGCCTTGTATTGTTCTTGAATTACCCCCAAAAAATCTCTAGGTAGAAATAAGGTCATTGTTTCACGTTCCATTGTTTAGATTATTTACGATCATCCAGAAGGCTTCTACTCGAGTGTAGACGTGGAACGAGTCGACTTGAACAAGTTCCCTGAACTGAGGAACCTGGAGTTCCATGAAGCGAAACTGCAAGCTGGCGATTGCATCTACCTACCTTTCAAATGGTCAGAGTAATGGCATATTAAATATATTCAGTCTGTGATATCTTCTTTTTAATGCACAAAGGATCATCGGCTTTTCATGGATTCTGTTCGTTTTTAATAAAAACACCACTCAGAATCCAAAGAAGAATGTTCAAAACCTAACATGTTGAAAGCTCAGCTAAGTGGATGTAACACTTTTTGAGCACACAGTAAAAAAAAAACCCATAAACAACTCCTCACGATTTCGTCTATATTACATTCTTTATTTCCAAAAATCAGTCAAAAATGACTGATCGTTGGAAATCACCTACATTTCTTGATTTCTTCTCAATGACAGCAAGCCAGATGGAATAATTTCACGGGGTGTTTATACCAATACGACCTTTAATCCAAGTAAATATGGGAATAATTTGGTAGGTTACTTTTGGGATAAACGCAACTGATTCGATACGCCTTAAACTTGCAAATTTTGCTAGCAAACAAAAGTTAATTACTTTTGAATGAGTTGTCAAATGCAAAATATCGACTCACACGTATTTATGGAATACACAAATGTAATTGAATACACAAATGTAATTGCTATCCAAATTTTACAGTATTTGTAGCCCGACGATAATTTAGTTCTGGCAGGGTAGACTCGTTCCCGCCCCTACAGGTATCCATAATGTATAAGGACCAGGGACCAGTCTACTTGCAAGGCGGATCTGCTTCTGCGCACATTAAGAAATCCTTTTGAAGGGTTGCAAGACGCCCAAAACTGGAGACAAAGTTTTCCTGCTCGTTGAAATGACCTTAATTGAAAACTCGTCAGTAAAAAGAGAATTTGTTGAAGAGCGCAGATATAAAAGTTTAACCTTAAAACGACAAGTCATCTTTATTACAAAACAGGTTTCATATTTAATAGGCAGTGATCAACTTTTCCAAGTTTAAACATGTTTGCAATCGTTTTTTTTTTATTGGAAACAAAAACAATATAGCATGTTTCCAGATTTGATCCTTTAACCAATTACGGTACAATACTTTTCAAAGTTCAAGAAACGAAGTTGCGACAAAATCCACCACTCAGTTCCACTTCTGAAGTGGCTTTCCCTCCCCGCAGCTCGAATTCTGATCCCCTCAGAGCTTGGGCCAAAATGACTATTTCTTTTTAAAACAATTGAGTGCTCCTCCAGAAATTAACCACCCCCTTAAATGCCCCCCCCCCCAAAAAAAATTATTGGCACGCCCCCTCGCCCGCAAAATTGGACCCGGTCTTGTCCCCAAATTTTACGAAACAAAAATGTGGAGCATTTGTGAGCCTTAAGCTGAATAAAATAAACATCTGTTTTTTTCTACAAGGAAATAAGTCATTTTGCCGGATATTTCACACGGACCTCGAAAAGCCAAGTAGAGGGAAAGTCCCAAAGCTGTCCCAAAAGATCGGTAAATAAACTAATGGTTGGACGCGTGTCAACAAAACAATCAAGACAAAGAAGGAAAGAAAAGAAAACTAGAGTAAGAAAACATTGACTTTCCGCAGGCCCACTCTTTCCTTCCTGATTGGCAACTGTATGCAGATTGAAGAATCACTTCTGGAGAAGATTGGGACCTTCCCTTTTTTTTTTAACATAATACAACATTTAAGTTGGTCGAAGTTGTTTCACATAATGTATTGTGATTACTCTGATCTACTTTCACTTTTTTGAGAAAATACTATTACATTGATGTTAAATGTCAAGCTTTTTCCGCGTGCAGTGTCTCTGAACTTTGGAAGTGCATATTTTCCCGTGTCCCGAAGTATCATTGTCATCGCCATGCCTCTTTTAAGATGCATCAGGCCCCGTGCAGTTTTCCACTTTCATCCCCAAAATAGATTCCCTTTCTAAATTACTTTTTAACATTCTGGCAATTAAAAAGTAATTCACGACTTTGATAGAGACCTTGACCGAAAAACCCGGCCCATGTTTAGTTATTGAGTTATTACTTTTGACCCACTTTTTCGGGTAACAAAAAATTGTGTTCTAGATCCGGCCTTGCGAAGAACACGGGGGGAGCTGGAGACGCAACTTTAATGTGGTCCCAAAATCAGTTGGGTTACTTCTCATTTCAGGCGGCACGGCAGGACGGGGTATAAATCCCCCCCCCCTCGCCCCAGTATTTGTTGGGAACGTCTATGACAATGCATTCCCCCTCTCCCCATTATATAAGGCTAAAACAAATCCTCCATCCCAACCCACTCCACATCCAAAGACATACACTGGAAAGGACATGCACGCCAAACACCATACGGCATCGCATAATTTTATGTAGCATGATCTTCGAATTTCTTACTCCACAGTTGTCATGACAAGAATTTCCCGCTTCCGTCGGATTGTAACACTGATAAAAGTCTTTATATCTATTTTTCTTGTTTGCAATATTATTTAGGCTTACTATTGCGCCTATAGTCCACATTTATCAGCCTGAATAATTGTCTGTAAAGTAAAATTTGTAAAGTAGTTATCCATAGTAGTAGTTTTCAACGGATGTCCAATTCAAAAGTGAATATCAATCTTTCGTATTGCCAGAAGAATTAGCAAAAAAAACATTACTTATTTGGGGTGAACTCGAAAATAGTATGGAGAGGGCAACTTTAACTTTTATAATGGTATACTGCCCGAATATTTGCCGAGTCTTTCAATCACTGATTCAGGATTCATCAGGTGAATTCCTTCGGCAGCAACGTTGCAGTCAACATTTGGTGGAATCACCAGGCCTACGTCGTGCCCTCCCCGGAGTCCTGCGGCAGGCCGGACCCGGAGCTCGATATCTCGCTGGCCGATGTCAGATTCCCGTACCACGACCAGCCGGACACCGGCATAGGCTTTCTGAGGGATCTCCACCCAGAAGTGGATTTCGTCAGGGACCCGTCGTAAGTTTCATTGCCTATAGTATAGTTCCTCCAAAATATAGCTGGAAATACTCACCTTTTATTAACGGAATATCTTGAAAACGGTGACGATTACACATTTTCCGAAGTTGTATTTTGTTATATTGCTGTTGCAGAGCAAGTTTGAGGGCATTTATGGACGAGGAGGAGACGGAATCGCTGACCGAGCAGCAATTTTTGGAATTCATGGACATGGTAACAGGAACACAAAAACTGTCGATGCTTGTTCAAAGTTTCAGTCAATCTAATATACCGTTTAGTAGCAACCGAGAGACTGCTGAACACGCATAATATAAGCATCTTTATGATCAATTGCTTTTCATGCATGTTGTTCGTTCAAATAATAACACTAACTCAAAAGAAGAATTTCCAAAATTTAACCTGTTTAAGTTTCAGCTCTATGGGTATTACACTTTTCGAGAAAGAAAGAAAACCACGCACACCCTTTTGATTACGAAAGATTATTTCGTCCATAACACTCTGTATTTCCACAAATCAGCCAATTGACTCATCGTTGGAATCACATACATTTCTTGATTTCTTCTGAATGACATCAAACCAAGCGGAATAATATCACGGAGTGTTTAGTACCATTGAGATTTTTCATCCAAAATGAGCTTTTTTGATAATAATTCGATAGGATGCTTTTGGGATAAACAAAAGTGATCCTATGTGCCTTTAAGTGATAAAAAAACGTATAATTATTCGCGTTAGGAAATCTGTATAAAAGAGATATTGGAGACCCTCGGCTTTTGGTGAAGTTTACTTCCTTTAGTTATTCCCCTTTTTCTAAAACTTAGTTTACTCTCGGTTTCCGAATTCTAGATGCTGTCAGGACCGGAGGGTGAGATCTGGACGGAGGAAGCTGTGCATGTTGCTCACCAGGTATATCAATCTTGGTTTCTTAAAATCCGTCTGGTTGTGTTGTCAACAAGTCTTGTGTTTATAATGAAAACTGCAAGTAATTTTTTACAGGGTAATTTCTTGTTCAAAAATACATAGGGATGGTCATGGAAGGTTGTTTTTTATGTTTTGCTCATTCGTATAATGGAACAAGAAATGTTTCTATTCCTTTGATCTGTTTGACTTTTTTTAGTTACATGTTTTTATATTGTTTGTTTTTAAATTGTATTCATCCTGTGCGGCAGATGTTCCAAATGCTCGATACTGATGGCAATGGTGAGATTACATCACACGACATGGACAAGTTTCCTGTAAAGATCAACAAGGTACACTCTAATTCATTCTCTCTGAGCTGTGTAAACCTACGCTAGCCTCCGACACTTTGTCAGCGATCAGCTGGCTAGAAAGATTCACTGGCCCGGCTATACCTCCCCGCAGCACGGATGTTTTGTCGGCAAATTTGTCATCCCCCTCCGCCCGTCTTTCCTCCCTGGACCCTGGACAAGCGCAATGTTCATACAAAAAAACTCCGATTGGAAATTTCATATCTAATATTCTACAATGTCATTTAAGCTAAGTGATTAACTCTTTCCTTGTCGGATTATCTGAGACATTTTGAGGAAGGAACTCACCATGATCTTCATCTTTTGATCATTTCTCAAAGTTCGACACCTTTTTCATCAATCTTGGGCAGAAGATGATGATCCTATGCGACATCGCTGACGGTCAGATTTCTAAACAAGTGCAGGTATGGCTCAAGATCATGGCTCCTGAAAAGGGAATTCATAATAAATTATCAATTTTACTTTCGTGGGTCCGATAAAGAGCCAGCTAAGTGTCCTCTTTCTGCCTGACAGGCAGGCAGGCAGGCAGGTTGGCTGGCTGTCACCTGTGAATTTGATTGGTTACCTATATGCTTGTGACTTACACCGGTCTGGGAGCACCTTTACGAGTCGCGTATATGTGGAATCTACACATTCATATCATGTGCATTAGTCTGGCGCCGATTTTTATGTACGTACACTGCAAAAACTGGAGTGTTAAATTTACACCATTGGTATCTATGTAGGACCATCTGGTGTTAAATTTTACTGGTGTTGTCCTATATAGATACCGAATGGTGTTAAATTAACACTACAGTTTTTGCAGTGTACTTTCATGATACACGTGTACTTATATGCAATAATCAAGTCTCCACATGGATTTTTCATTGCCATCACGGGACCACTACAGATTATTCTATAAATTTGTTGGTTTTTTTAGTCATATGTGTGCACTCTGGGACCAGCCTTTCTTTGCTTGTCTTGTTTTGTTTTGTATATTGCACTTATAATCTGCTTATTTTGCTATTCTGCAGGAGATTTTGAACAAGTTTGAGGAAGACAAGGTCCGGGATGTTGGAGACACACCTTCACATGAACACGGCAGCAAGTACAGAGGGACCAGTGGTCATACGCCCATGCGCAAAGGGGAACTGTAAAATATGAACCAACTCATAGTTTTGTCATAAATTGCTAGGTCTATAGTTTGCCTGAAAAAAAATACAATGGATGAAGATAATGGAAGAAAACTGTATCTTTGAATAAAAAACATAATTACACTATGTATTTTATTTTGATTTTCTAAATTATTGTTTTCATGTTGTGTTACGCGCGAGATATGATGTGTATTAATCCTATACAATTGTCTGAGTTGTTATCAGGCGCGGGAAGATTTTGAAATCTACGATGATTTATCCTGCATTCTAAGGCAATTGAATAATAAATTAAGAAACTTCAGCATTCTATTTATTATATTTGGCCCCATTTTACAAGTTTCATAACATCAGTTAACGGCTGAAGGGGGGGGGGGGTACCGCCCCCTAGATCCGCAACAGGGTATATGAAATCAACAATAGAGTTCCCCTCTATTCACAATCACTTATTCATTTTAATTGTTAGTGGCAAATCCTTAAAAAAAAAACACTCGAAGTAAACCTAGCTTACATAACTTTTGTCGTCCTATTTCCGTCCGTTATGAACTTATATGCATAAATTCAGAGTTGTTATCAGGCGCGGGAAGATTTTGAAATCTACGATGATTTATCCTGCATTCTAAGGCTATTTACACTAGTGGCAATAGCACATTTTAAAATACACATTTTTTAGAGTTAAAAAAAGAGTCTATCCCCAGAAGAACTGTGCCTGTATATATTTCAACTTTGCTTTATGTGGTCGGAATTCAAAGTTTTGTTAGCACACCGAGGGCGCTGTTTTATCCTTTTTAAACCGACTTCAAGGCAGGCGCGGCTCTAGGGGGGGGGGGGGGGGGGCTTTAGCCCCCCCCCCCCCCAAATTTTGTCTAGCCCCCCCCCCAAATAAATTCCGTAAAAAGAAATTGCATTAGCAAAAAGGATTGTGATGTACATGCAAACAGTCTCCCCCTAAAGAAATAGTCTTGACAAGGGTGCATTTTTTTGTAGTTAATATAGTGTGAATGATTTTAGGATTTTATTGGCGCTCCCCATTGAAAATATGGCATCCCCTCACCTATTGATTTTCGGAAGCCTAAGTGTGGAGAAAATAACCGGTCTACATTTCAGCATGCCTCCCTGAAAAAAAATTCTGGATCCACCCTGCTAGCCCCCCCCCCAAAAAATATTGGTTCTAGAACAGCGCCTGCTTCAAGGTGAGTAATATAAAATTGAGGGCGCTGTTTGTCAAGTTTAAAGTTATTTTCTTTTAAGTTATGTTTTTCAAATGTTGGGGGTGCTGTTTAATAATTGTTTTAGTAACCAAGTCTTTTTTCTAAATATTGAGGGCACTGTTTTAAAAAATAAACCACACTTGCGAACAAAATTGTAACGTGGTGCTTGAACTTTATTTTTTTCCATCTGGTTTAAACTTGTACATGTATATATATATATATATATATTTAATTTGACCTTTGACCTGACCCTTCAACTTTGACATAACCTTTTACCTGAACCTTGATGTAACCTTTGACCTGACCTTTGACCTGACCCCCCAAAAGCCCAGCCACATACAGCCCCCCCCCCAGTGCGCACACGCATGTCCCCGCCCACAGACACCAACAAGCAGCAGTCACCCAACTACCCACACCAACTTGCGGCCATATACACAGCGCCCTCTAGATCTTGCAAATTGACCAAATCATGGATACCCAAGTAGAAAACAAAATAATAAGGATCTATTAAACTCCGACAATTGGTTCAGTTTTTTTACAAGGCAGATGATGCTTTGGGTTTTTGGTTACGAGCGTTGCCATGGAAACCCACCATCTACAGTCAAGAATGACAATTTAAGAGACTCTGCACCTTTCCTTAATTACCCCTTGACATTATCAGATGTTCACAGTTGCATCATAACTTCTGATTCAATCAAATAAAAAATTAACAAACGGTTATGTTTTGCAAATTTTCTTGGACATTTTACAGTGTCGAATAATATTAGGTCAATCATATCGATCCTATTAAATTATACAGGGAAAATCTCCAGAGTGTAATTCTTATAAATCTTTATGCTGTTCTCAGTATCTTCAAGTTGCACAAAGTAGTCATCTTTAACTGTAATTTCACTGACATTTTATCTGCTGGTTCTTTTTAGTAACTGCAATGTTTTTCGTTATTGCTTGATTTGCAACATCACAAAATGACAATAAATTAAATTTGTGAGATTTTCTTTAACTGCATCAGTTTTTGATCTCAATTTGCTTTTATAAAATGAGGCGACGAGAATAAATTGCTTGATAATGAATGCAAGTATGACAGAAATGAGGGTTTGGTAGCAGACTATGCTCTGTGGAAATTTCACTTCAACAAACAATATTTTATTAAGCAAACAACACTTTAAAATAAACCAAAGTGCTGCTTACAAAGTAATTTAAACTTAAAAGTTTTCGGTAAACAAAAAGCATTGTTATTTTCACTTGGTTCTATATTCTTAACAGTTATCCCAGAATGAATTGAAAGAAAAACCACATGTACCATTTTCTCTTAACTTTAAAAAGACTCGTTTTTAATGAACCAATGCATATGCAAATTATTCAAATGTTTGTTTTGGCGTCCAGGCTTAGCGAAACACTGATTGGTCCACACGGAGATTTGAGCTCTGTGATTGGCTCAGCTGTGGGCGGAAAATGTTTCCCTTTGATAGGAGAGCACGTGCGGCCTCTCGTGCGCTGAACCGACGGGACGCCATTTTGAAAAACACGCATGAAAGTGGCTGCCGACTGTTTGTGCTTGAAGACATTTGCAAGACTCTTTCAGCTTCTTCGAGTTTTCAAGAAGAACAATAACTGGAACATGGCGGGAGTCCGAGAAATGACAGTTTTTACCATCATTTTCATGGTACGTTAAAAATAAAAATAGGCGAGAAAAGTGTCATTCTTACTGGACAGTCCTACCACGGAGCTATACATGCTATAGCTCCATGTGGGATCATGCCACACGTAGTTTGCCCTCTTTTCCAATGCCATTTTCCATGCTGTGGTAAAAATGTACTTTAACCCCTCTGTTGGGAGACAAATTGGAAAGATTCCCATATATTGCTATCACTTATTTTTCCCTTCAGTGACCTATCAGCCATCTGAAAGTGATAATATGTCCTAAAAAGTCAAATTTAGCAGAGAAAATATCCTATTTAATACTGAGAAAACACAACAATTTTCAGACCAGTTCATACTGTTTGTTAGCCCCACTAGTGTGGCCGTCGGTATGCTGCGCTGAACCTTTGGCCACACACCGTGGTACCGCGCGCTACTGAGGACGAAGTTTTTCATAAAATTCAGGGCAGTTTCTTACATTTTCAGTTTCTTACTTTCTTATGGTTGTATTCTATGATGTCTCCTATCACTTCTGGGATGCTTAGCATGTGCTTAGGTCTAATGATGTTCCATTTTCCGAGATATTCTTCAATCTTTCTGGAGTCCATATGCACTCGTGAAACGTCTGGTGATGGCAGCCATTTTGAATGGGACAAGAGATGACCTCAAGCTGTGACGTCGCGTGTATGCAAATTGCTTGTCGAGCGCGCGAGGGCGCGAGTTGCAAATGCGACGGCTGTTTCCTGTACCATGCATTTATCGTCAGGGGGCCACGTGCACCGATCTCTATTCAGGATCTACGGCACAGGAAACAGCCGTCGCATTTGCAACTGGCGCCCTCGCGCGCTCGACAAGCAATTTGCATAAACGCGACGTCACAGCTTGAGGTCATCTCTTGTCACATTCAAAATGGCTGCCACCACCAGACGTTTCACGAGTGCATTATGGGCTCCAGAAAGATTGAAGAATATCTCGGAAAATGGAACATCATTAGATCTAAGCACATGCTAAGCATCCCAGAAGTGATAGGAGACATCATAGAATACAACCATAAGAAAGTAAGAAACTGAAAATGTAAGAAACTGCCCTGAATTTTATGAAAAACTTCGTCCTCAGTAGCGCGCGGTACCACGGTGTGTGGCCAAAGGTTCAGCGCAGCATACCGACGGCCACACTAGTGGGGCTAACTGTTTGTGCACAGGGGGAAAAGTTGTTGGCCAGATATGGGAATCTTTCCTGAGAGAGATTTATGTGCAAAAAATGTTGCAACCTGACGCCACTTTTTTTCTTCATATATTGACGCAATGAAGGTTATTCATTACAAAAATCTGGGTCAAGGGCGGATCCAGGGGGAGCCAACGGGGGCCATGCCCCCCCCCCCCCCAAAAAAAAAATTAACGAAACCATTTTTTTCAAAAGTGGTGTCACAATAAAGGCAGGCACCGTGTATACCACCATCTTTCCTCCAAAAGATTTGGTTAAAGTGGTCATATCAGAAATATCCTCAGATGGCACCACAGAGCATCGATCTACAGACTACAGTAGAATCCAAAAAAATTCAAGGCCCTTAAGCGGGCCCCAAACCCCACGCCGAATTTTTGGGGACCCTCTTTTTGGGGGACCAAAACATTTTTTGGTCCCCCCAAAAAGTGGGTCCCAAAAAATCCAGCTGGATTTTGGGGGACTACAAAACTTTTTTGGCCCCCCAAAACAATTGTGTTTGGATCCGCCCTTGATTTGGGACTGAGAAACATTTCAAATTTTGTTAGGAAATACTTAAATAATTTTCTTGACTCTCCATAGACTTTGTACACAACCGTGTAACCGTGCATCAGGTTGCAGCTCAGGATGCCTGTGAGGGCCAGGGATGAGGCACCATCCTGAGGTCATAATTACATCTTTTCTGGCTTTCAGGATGACTGAGAGCTCCAAATTGGTGAGTGCCTCAGAATTTTTTGTAGTAAACTTTTATAAGACAGAAATTAGAAAACATATTTTACACATCCGAGGCTTATAGGGGCATACCTTACATAATGCATTGGTTACCTCAGACTGTACCGCAGAGCATCTGGATTCTAAAATTTCCTGGGGCCCTTTAGCGTGCCCAGGACCTCACACTGTAAGACATTTTGTGCTAAGCGCTCGTATTAGTCCTCGGAACAAATGCCCCAATGCATCGTTGCAAAAATTCCCTTTCCCAAAATAAAATGCAAGAAAATATGAAGAAGAAAATACATGGTTTTCAACTTTAAAGTAAACAGTAAGTTAAAATGTGTGAAA